ATTAATTAGAATATTAATGATAGTAAATAATATTTATTGATTAGTATTTAAAAACATTTATTTATTGATTTGTACTTTAAAATTTGTATGGATACATGTTTAAGTTCAAAATACATGTCCACAATTTTATAAATGTGTAATCATCACAATTTGTAATTAAGTAAATGGTAATTTTATCATTAATAATTGAGAGATTAATGAATTATTTATCTCATAATTAATAGTAGAGTTGAAAAATGGACATTACTTTTTGAAAACGGATACTTACTTTGAGGCAAACTAAAATTGAAACGAGGACACTTATTTTGGGGTGGGGGAGTATTTGTTTTTGTTATTTGTAGACATTGTTCGTCTTATAACTATGAATTATTCTTTATGGTAATTTATATGTATTAGTGATCGGTTAATATCTTTTCGTATTATTTATAGACTAAGTTTCTATTTAGCATATTATATGTACATATAAATTAGTTACCGTGCAATTTAGACGTACACTTGTTTATTTCTTAATAAAAATCGGCAGATGTATCAATCTCTTTTTAAAAAGAAAAAAAATCATCATCAATCATACAAACAATACAAAATTATTCACACCTCCGTCATTATTATTACTTATTTTATTTAATTTTACAACTTTATTCCTAAACAAGGATCTCTCTCTCTCTATATATGTGTGTGTGTGTGTATATATATATATATACTAGAAGGGTACTCATGCTATGCATCGAGACACATTTCGATTTTGATGTTTCATTTTATTTTTTATCTATGTCGAAATAATACAATTTTATGTGGTTTTGAGAAAACGATAATATTTTTAGTTTTGAATAAAATATATAATTGAAAATATCATATAAAATTTACAAAAAATATATCAATATTAATATCAAATTAACTATTTAAAAGTCTTTATTTGTGTATTTTTTAATTCAAAATTTTTATTATAATTTAATTTAACGTAACAAAGTAACTTAATTTAGGTTTAATAATATATTTTTTTATAAAGATAATAATTAAGTATTTTGTTATAACTCAATAATAATCTTAATTATATTTTATATTTTTTATATTTTAAAATAAGATGCTTATCCTCTATTTGATTATGTTTATCCCCAGTTAGTTACACTAATTCAAATATAGAGCTTTAATAAGTTGTATTTATGCATAATTTACTTATAATCTTGAATTTTAAGTAATATGCATCAATAAACAGCACTTCATGCATTAAAAATGGTTTTTAAGAGTTTTGTCAAATGCTTTATAATATAGTATAGATATTAGAATTTCACTAATGATATTTTATTAACCTTTTTGAAGTATTTGAATACTATTTGTTTTTTTTATTAACAACTAACGTATATTTATATAGACAATCTTCGGATCATTAATCAAATTACCCATGTTAGTGTGCAACGCGCAGTTTCCACTAGTTATTGTTAATAAGTGCTTATTATGCAATAAAGGGTAAATATAGTCATTTATGATATTTAGTCGTTTATTCAACATAATGAACAAATAACAAGGAATTTCAATTTATACAGACATATTAATCCATACAGTCAGTTTTATTCATACAAGACTTAATAAAAAACCAACCAAATAACCCCTTAATTAATTAAGTTATGTTAACGTGTTTGAGTTTAACATGGTAAGTCACCCAATAACATCTTAATGACTTTTTCCATAATTACCATTGACCTACGATTTTCTTTTCCATACGTCTCATTAAAAATAAATAGCTTACCAATGCATGCACAAATTAAAATTTGTAATTAAGTAATGATACTTAGGTGCCGTTTATCAAACACTTATCCGGGTAAGCGTTTATCAAGTCACTTTATTTTACCGGATGAATATGACAAGGGCTAAAAATCTTACCCGGTAAGAGCGAAGGCAAAAATCGAGAATCTTACCGGGTAAGTGAGGACGATGACTCTTACCATGATTAGCGCTTACCAGGATAAATTGTTGCATACGATGTGTTTTAGTGAATAAAATCTTACCCGATAAGTAAGCGATAGTGTTGAATTTACCGGTAAGTGTTTAGGTAAACGACCCCTTAATTATTTTTAATATATTTTAAGTTATTAAGTATTGTGTTATTAACTCGTTAAGTTCATATTTTTTACGTTATTTTAAATAATTCATATTATTTTAACTTTTTACCGTGTAAAATATTAATTGAACAATTTATTTTTATTTTAAACACTTAAGTAGACGGAAAGTTAAAATGTTAATTTTTGTTAAACTTTTTGCCGAGCTTTTTTTACTTTCCTTCGGAGAAAAGGTTTCGAGAACATAGAGGATAGATTAATAAAAAATCAAACAACCTTTGAGTTGTGTTTGATACATGGGAGGGGACAGGATATGACGGAGAAAAAACTCATTGTCCCACGTTTGGCGTGACATGGGACAGGACAATAACTCACTGTCCCATGTTTACTGCGGCGACATACGACAGGGACAAGAACTAGGACAAGGTGAGATTTTGTACCCAAAACAAACGCGCTACCAAGCTGTGCTACATCCCTTCCATTGGAGTAGCACAAAAAAGCTTTTTTCGGTGGAACAAGATGAGAGAATAATGATATAGAAACTAAAATACTACTAATTAATCTTCGTTTGATATATAACCTTAACATGATATTTGTTTTCGTGGTCAGTGTTGCTATTGCGGTCGCCGCCATCATCAGCTACATCCACCTCCTCGACTACCACCACCATTGACCACTGATCACCATCGTCTATCACCACCTCCACAACCACAATCGTCCATCACCACTACCACCATTGGCCATCTTCACCTTTTCTTCTACTATAACAACCTCCCCCATCGTCGACCACCAACCACCATCGTCCATTGCCACCACCACTACTACCGTTGGCTACCTCCACCTTCTCATCTACTACAACCTCCTCCACTGCCTCCACAACCAGCGTCGGCCACCGACCAACACCATTCATCGCCACCACCATGGGCGACCTCACTTCCACCATAACCACCACTATCGACCATTACCACTGCCCACCGGCTACCACTACCTCCTCCACAACCACCACCGTCCATCTCCACCATCACTAGTATTGTCGACCATCACCCCTGCTCACCATCACACCTACCTCCACCACATAGGTCACAACTACCTCCTCCACCACTGTCAGCCGCCAACAACACCACTATCCACCACCTTCACGTCCCCACAACCACCATCGTCCACCAATTACCAATTTTCTATCTTCACAACCATTGTGTTACAACAATCTTCAGCGTGCCTTCACCAATTAATAAGGATATTCCAAACTAAATAAAACATAATTTATCCTTTGTATAAATTAGATTTTTCAAACTATCATCAATTATATAAAAAATTCCATTCAAATCTGATACCATTTTATATTAATGTATATGAAATTGTGTAAAAATATTTATAAATTAAATTATTTACTTTAGTTGTGTTGATTATAACTATTATATGATATATAAAATCATAAAATAATTATTGGGGGCAACTTGTCTATTTCTATTCCATCCAGTCTTAGCCGTATTAAACACCGGACAAACACGATCATACCCGAACTGAAAAAGTTCTGTCATGTCCAACCAATCAGCGTTCCAAATGCTAGCTTGGGGTTTATCACTTCTTAACCCATAGTTAGTGGTTGTTTACTTGCTGCTTAATAGGCTTATTGGTCTATCTGACTTATTGGTCTATCTGGCTTATTCGCACAGCTCATTTGAGTTGTTTACTTACGGTTTATTCACACAGAACATGACTTAATCGCAAAGATAGAATGATGTGTTGTCCCCATTCAGCCGTAAAAATGACATCCCTACCCCTTATTGAAAGCACCACCTCATTTCCATATGAGATACCCCATTATCGGTCTCTTTATGATTTTTTGTTTTGATGTTCAAATAATTAATATTTAGGATAAATCGGTCTTTTATGTTATTCAAACTGTTGGTTCAGATAAAAAAGGTAAACAACACTACCGGTCTAACCGGACAGACAAATTTATCCGATACCGAATAAAAAATTTAGTAAACAAGCCCATCGTTGGTAACATGTTAATATCCTCCAACCATAAACCCTAAACTTTTGAATGAAAACAATATTGAGCGCCCAAATCAACGAATTTGAGCTTTGAAGCGGTGGAAAGCAATCCGACGATGGTTAAGGCAGAGATCGGTGCTGGTGCTGGTGCCGGTGCCGGTGCCGATGCTGATGCCGTTGCCGTTGCCGATGCCATCCATCCTCCATGGCTCCACTTGCTTTCAGCATTTCTCGCCATGGAACCTTCTGATTCGTTAATCTCCATTTCTAGGTAAGCCGTTAATCCCGTCGGCTCGGCTAATAACCGAAATTCACCTTCTTTGGATTCACTCTGCCTGAAAGAAATCTATGCCTCTGTGTATAGTGATTTTTCTTTTCTAATATTTTATCTTTCGACATGATCTGCGTTAATCCAATGTATCCATAGAGACTGTGGTGGGGGTGCAATCACGGAGAGTGTTCAGAATTTCATCTGGGACCAATGTATTAGCAGAGCCGTGAGTTCCTTCCCATGACACTATTTTGGTCGGCAATTTTCGTTTTTTCAAATTAGTGTTCAGGGTTTTATACACGGATTATTTATGAAATTTTAAACAAACACATATATCCGCGAATCCTATTTAAGCTTCTTAATTCATATCAAGCACACATCTTAATTACACATTGGTTGATTATCGTGAGCTAAATCATATGGGTTAAATCAGGGCTGTTCCAATCTTTTTGGAGAGCCTGACACACTTGTACAAAGACTATAGATTGATTGGATGAGTAATGAATAAAACAAAATATAAAAGTTTATGTCATATATTATATTAAAAACCATACAAATTAAAACAACAAAAATGTCTTAAAATGACAAAGTTACATACAAATTTTAGTTAAATGGAATTATTTTCCTAACATTCTTCGAAACAAAATCTTCAATCAGTTCTTTCACAACCAGCTTTCTCCAATAAGACGTTGATTTGAAAGGATTAGCATAAAGGAGTTCACCAACTGTTGTTACCTCAAGTTCTCGAAAAACCCTAGCTCAATTGTAGGACCAATTCTCCCACAACTATCAACTTTTCTGCATGTTTCTAAAGGGCTATAGTGCTATCAACAATGGTAACCAATATCACGATGAATGAAGTCAACAAAATTGCAGGTGAGGTTTCTCGTCAAACAAGAAAGAGAGATTATTAAACAAAGTCGTGCTTGGTACTTCAATAATAATATTAGCCATCCTGAAAATTAAGATGAATGAGACTAGCTGAGTAGGAGAGATTAATCGTCAAATTAGAGACCGGAGGTGAAGGGATTGCAGATATGCGATCGTAATTGGGATTGACGAATTGCCAAATATGGTAAAAGAGAAGGAATTCAGCCATTCGGGCACTGGGCTAGAATGCTAAATCTCTAAACCGTTATACCTGCCTAAATGGGCTAAAACTAGAGGGAAAAGCCAGAAGGAATTGAGCTAAAACATAGGCTAAAACCAAAACATATACTGTTCGCAATTTCACATTGGTATGCCATCCGACATGGCCCTGGGTTCAGTTAATTTTGGGGTAACTGGATTATATAAGTACCACCATGGCCAAAGATTGAGGTGTGCAAATGGAAATAAAAATTCATAGAAAGTAGCATGTGTGACCTCCAAAATATGAATTTAAGAATGAAGGGAAAAGTGAATGTTTTTATACGTGAATAGTTATAAGTAAGCTTCTCCCTACAAGATTTGACAACTTGATTGACAGGTTTTTAGTCGTGGACAGGATAGTTCATTGGCAATAGGATGATTATCATAGGGTAGAGTTCTTGGGAGAACAACCTCGTATTCTTTCAGAATAAGAGATGGTGCCTTTGCTTTGCAGGCGTGTTGTGGGTAACAAATCTAGCTTAAGAATTCCGTGTCTTCAAAAATAAATTGTAGCTCTAATGCTTTGGGTTGTATGCGTGTATGCATGGAATGTACAAAATAAACATGGAGTCATATTGCTTTTATGTTTTTTTTGGGGGGGGGGGGATTCTAACATAGGGGACACCAGTTTTGGATTTAATTTCATATGACTTGAGGGGATGTAGTTAAGTGTATAATGAACTAAGCCATGTTCTTGATGGACGACTGATATTTCAAGAAAACAAAATATGAATAACCCACAAACAAGAAAACTTGACTTCATTCTATTTATAATCTTAAGTATGCAAGTATATATAATATACTAATTATTAAAGACGACATAAAACAGCTCAATATTTACATCAATGAAGGACCAACTGCCTTTTAATATGATCCACTAATTCTTCAATCTTTTGTTTTAATGTCACTGCAGGATGGAAAAGCTAGCGCACCTTATGTAAGGTCTTTCCTGAAAAAGGTTATTCTTGAAATTGAATCTGCAGGCGCTGTTGTTGCCGATGAACTTTATGAACAATTTGCATTTAACATGACTTCGTCGAAGGTACACATGCTATTTTGTTTTTGCTTACCAAGGTTGCAGAAGAAAAAAAATAAAGAAAAAGGTTCATGCATTTATGTTATCCTCTATGTAAAAGGGTGATGATTTAGCGAAGGGAGACTCAAGGATCATTAGGAAAATTTCGTTTCTTTACCCTTCTGGTAAGCGTATGTGAACAGTAATTCATCAATTTTCATCCGTAATATATATTTTGCATGTTCATTTTGGTTTCTTGTGAAGATCATGTTGAAGCCCAAGTTTGCCAAAGTCTAAGGAAACTAATAGTGCCACTTCAATGTTCGCTTAACATGCTTGAAGGAGATACTGGGTAGGCATTATTGCTACTAGTAGGGACGTTATATCACTAAATTCTTGCATCATGCATACCATTTCATTCACAAGAATATGAATTTAAGATGGGAAGCTTCTTGAGTGGACTTGGTGTTTGATTAGCTTAGTTATGTATTCATATGCAGAGAAGTCCTTGATACAGGGTGGTTGCACCAACAAAAACATTAAACTAGCAGTCACAGGCTAAGAATGAAGCAAAGAAGTTACATATGTGAATAGAACTTACGGATTTCCAATATAATGGCATTCTTCCATGCTCTTGCATCAAGGGTTAAGCACCTCACAACATCAAATTGTTCAAATCATCGTGTTATTTAGTGTTCATATTAATCTAGGCTTTTCTATACCTCTTATAACTCCCTTCACTTGCTAAAAGATTTGTCTGTTGCTGGCTCATTGGATGAGCAGTGGCTCATGTTGAACCAATCCTTTGCGGCATTGCACCTTCAGTAACATATAATCCAACTGGTTGTGGATCCATTCTTATGCATGAACTTGTTAATGTAATTTACTTGTCCTGTTTCAATAGAGATGAAGCCAAGATTCTATGCTTGTGGGTGTCTGCATTATCATATGCATGATGTAATGTGTATTTGTAACAAATCAACATATGTAACTGTTGACATGGTGTGCTCAGTTGTTCCATATGGCCCTCAAGCCTGTTCTTATCGGAATTCATTCTTTCGTGTCCTGAGCTGTTTTCAATGAAGTCATGTTTTGAGGTAAGATTGTCTCTGAATACACTTCCAAATTCAATACATGGAAAATTTTCTTTTTATTTGATAATTTTTATTTCACTATCTCTAGGCTGGCCAAGTTAGGATCTAATGTGTTGCAGTACATGTAATGATTTGAACTTAATAGAAACACATTTATAGAACCAGGAAGGCTTTATAAAGGTATATTTCACATAATAATGACTATGCTTTTAGGAATTGCAACAGTTGTGTCTTAGATGTATTTTTGCACATGAAATTTCAGATTTAACATCCTTTGCATGTTTCGTATGCGATTTGAAAATGAATGAAGTTCCCAAATATATCTTAATGTCCATACAATAAGGGATACTTTGTGCCTGCACCCCATATTAACACAATTTTCTTTGAATTCTTGTCTCTGCTATATTTGTTTTGTTGATATGCTGATGTCTTGGTCAGCTGGCATCGGTTACTAGCAAAACAAACTGAAGATAATGAATGTTATGCTTGTCCGGTCGTAGTATTTTAAGATCTTGAGGATTCTGTGTCTGACCTAGTTGTTACATAGATACATGGTTATTTGTCATAGCATGCGGCATCTAGGTTTATCTTACATACGTTTACATATCATGCGGAAACTCATGACTTAATGGAAGTGCTTGTGCACAACTACTATGTTCCAGTAGTTTGGCAAGTAGCAATTTACCAGGAAATGTGTAAATTAAGAATATACGGAAAAATCTTAGGTTGTAGCAGGTTTTTATGTTTCTCTGATGTCCATTCAGCCCACTGGCTATTGTACTTTTGCAACAGCAAATTGCCATCTGTGAGTACCTACAATGATTTTCCTTCTGTGTTTTGTTTTGATCCATGAAAGAGCAGCTTGGATCAGGCGTTGGTTTGGTTGGCATATGTCTGGCACATGTGAAACCCTCGAAGGCAAGTATCTCCTTCCTCTCTCTCTCTCTCTCTCTCTCTCTCTCCTTCCCTCTGTCTCGCATACACACACCATCTCTCTATCCACACACACAAACAACACTGGACATGAAGGTCTATGCTGACCATGCTAGGCATGTGCCATGTTTGCAGATGGTGTCTAGTTCCTGATATCTCATTATAATCTTTGTTTTGCATGGAATTTGGAAGAAGTATCATGGTATGCCAGTTCTCATGCCCGAATGGGAACTTGGGATATTAATCAATTGTATCTAATGCAATATAGAATTGTACCTATAAACTGCATGTCATATTAAGTAGCGATCCAACATCACCATCAACAAGTTTTCCATTCATATTAAGTAGCGATCCACCATCCGAATTTCATTACGTTACAGCGATGAACATCTTGATCAAAAAAGACATCACATATCTAACTACTTTTATCAAAACAAGAAAAAAATGGCAAATGTCACCCAACTAATGAAAAACATAAACTTTCATTTACGAGCTTCATTTACCCTAGTTTGCACCGGCATTTCAAGTTCATTCCTTGACATCAACAAACTAGGGAGATTGGGGTGATTTGCAGTGCTCGTGAACACATTGGTCCATCAACCCAACCGAGAAACCTACATCTAGAATCCTGTAATAACATTAGAAGACGAATTCTTAGGTCAAATGAAAAAATAGAGTAAATTACACACTCTACTCTTTTACATCCATCGAACAAGACTAGAAGCTACGTCTTGGATTTGTGGAGGTCCGAGACGTTCGTATGATGGCTATTGAACCACAATCACAGATCGCTCTTGCCTATTCGATTTTTGGTTCAACACCGATGTCCAAAAACTAGGGTTTGGATGCAATAGAAGCTGCTGTAAAAAATAAAGAGAAGATGGTGACTTCGTTGGGATTAACTTAGGGCAATGAGGGTAAATAAATAGTCTGGGTGTTTGGAACATTTTTGCCTCTAGCGTGCAAAGCACATGCTCTCACTTAGCGGGAGCAAATGGACAGCGTCTTCCTCAGGGACCAAAAGTGAAGCAAAATGGCTACTAGAGTGACCAAATTTGTAATTAGTTCAAAATAGGGACGAGAGTTGCTAGTGGGCAACTACATGGACCAAAAGTAAAATCACTCTAAATGATACATTATATAACGCCTTAAAATGTTTTTTTAAATAATGAGTGAAAAGACCAAAACACCCCTGACTTAACCGAGTTTTTTAAAACGGGAGTTAGGGCTAAGGGTGCGATCCATAACGAAATTGAAACCTGAGGACCCTAGTCATGAATTTTTAGGGTTAGGGACCTTATTTGCAACCGAGATGAAACCACAGGGACGAAAAATCTAATTAACTCTGATGTCAAATATATCTATGATGTAGTCCCATCCATAGCTTGTATTGCTAACATCTTAAACTAATCCATGCAATGCAGGTGCTTCTAACTGATGGTGACCTTTCAACTTTAGCCAATTTGAAAGTTAACTTGGAGCTAAATTGCATGAGTACCCGATTTTGTTCGAGTGAAGGCATTCTTGAGGATCCAAACAAGGTGAGTTGCATCATTATGTCTTTTTATCTTTTCTCTATTGCACCGCACTACCAAAACTCAAACATTGTACTAGGAATATTGGAAAAAGAAGTAAAAATAGTAGCAAGTAACATTCACCTTTGGACAACAAAACTACATCCCTTTTCACCTTCATGCCACATCACTTTCTTGCTCTCGAGGGGGCATCTGATTTTGTATTTAAGGAAGAAAATTATAAGAATTTATGTCAACCAAGCTGTAAGCTCTGATCCCATTTTAAAATTATGGTAAAAAGCAACTTTTATCACAACCTTGGAGAAATCTGTATAAAAGTTATATTGAAAATTTTAAGATGCGCCTTTTAGCATGCAAGAAGTTGAGTTTTGTGGTCTTTCTGTGGTTGTTTGCTGAAGAAATGCAACTTGCACAATGAATTGTTATGATTTTCCTGATTGTGATACTTTATAGGATTATGCTCTAGACCTTCTTGTAATACCAAGGAGAGATGTCCTTTTGCAACATAATCTGGAATCGGCATTAAGACTATACAGCGAACAGTAATCCTTTTTGTTCTATAAAAAATAGTTGGATGGTGCAACCATGGTTTTAAAAATCGTTTGAGGCATATGCCTCGAGGCTAGGCGGCCCAAAAACGCACCTGAGGCGGCGCCTCTTGGACCCTGGACGAGGCTTACGCCTTGGTTCAGTGAGGTGGTTCGGTGAGCGTGAGGTGATGTCGAGGTGTACTCCTCAAATATTTGCTCTGGTAATGGTTTTTTTGGCTTTTTCTATAAGCTTTATGGCAGTTGTAATACTTCTCTTTAGTCTTTATAGTATAAGTGTCTTTTAATTAAAAGTCAAAGCCCAATGGCCCCAATGTGTACTTTAATATTTCAAAACCCAAAAAGCTAGTACTTTCTCCTCAATCAAAAAGTGTGGTTTGACCCTTCCTCTTCCTCCAAGCAACGATGTTTTCCACACCCTCTCAGTCTATCTCACTGTTTCACTCTTTTCTTTGTGAAGAACCGCTGAACCAATTCCCTTACTAATTTAGTATTATATATTGTATATAAATGTATATATATTTTTGTAGTATATATACGTATTTTGGTGTATATATATTTCCGCCTCGGGGCTTATGCCTCGGATTGCCTCGAGGTTTACGCCTCACCTCGTTGAGGGAAAACGCCTCGAGGCCTGATTCCGCCTTTTAAAACCTTGGTTGCAACCATATGAATGCATGCCATTGTGTATAAACTTTCGTCAATTACACCATTTGACCTAAATTGGTCTATTGTATATGCTTCAGAAGTGAAACCTATTAAAAGTTTCTTGATCTTTGGGCAGCTTGCCTATACAAAAACCATACTTGGCGGAAGTTACCAAGAGTACGTTACGAAATATACATACACTGATGCACATATAAGTGAATACCTGTCTAAAGTAGTAATTAACAGAATATATTCACTGTTTGAACATTGGAAAAACTCGAACATTCTGCCTGTCCGATTTATTTTATTACCTAATAAACTAACATGTGTTTATCCAATTCAGCATGAACTTTCAGGCCTGCGTGTGTTTTATTAATCGACTACATAAAAACCCAAAAGGCATATATTGATTAACAGAAGGAAACCCACAAAATTTAGATTCATAGACTACAAAACCAACAAAAACTCCATCCTGTATGTGTGGTCATATATTCTTGTAAACTTGTAATATGTGCTTGTGTATATCTAACTTAGCTGTTGACTCCAGGTCAAATGCTTACATCTACCGTGGGAATCTGCACTTGAGAGTGATCTTCGAGATCTGATGCCAGACATAGTGTAAGCACTTCGTATATGTACTTAGACCATCTCCACTGAACGCACCAAATCATCTCCAATGAATGCACCATTTTGGTGTTATGAATAGTATAATTTATTAAGTTCTCATGAAAATAAATAATTTATGGGCGTCACTTGTTAAGTTGATAAATAAAGGCATAGTATTGAAAATCTATGTAACTGAAATGAAAAAGAATATACTTAGGGGCCGTTTACCAAACACTTACCAGGTAAGGGCTTATCGGGGTGTACTTATCTTACTGGGTGAGCATGATAAGGACCGAGAATTTTACTCAGTAAGAGGCATAGCAAGGACCGAAAATCTCACATGATAAGTGAAGGGAGAAGACTCTTACATGGTAAGCGCTTACCAACAATCTATTTGTATGGCCCAGATTATTACCAGATAAGCCAAGTGAGAGCGGTGACTCTTGCTGGTAAGCACTTACCCGGAAAACGTTTGGTAAATGGCCCCTTAGAATATTCTCTTTTGGTGTAAAAATAGTGTAATACGATTGAAGTTGATATACTGTTTGCTTCATTTTTTGCGCCAAAAAAGTGCAAAAATTTGGTGTTTTACATCGGAGATGCCCATATACTTTTCTTTCCATCCGTCTCTCCCTCTTTTTCACTCGCAATTTTCATGAATAATATATGCACAGGTTGGGTGCAGACGTGATATATGATCCAGAATGCATTCCGCACCTAGTTCGTGTCATTGCCACTCTTTTGACCACAAAAAAGTCAACCTCCATTCGTAGAGATGGATTCGGAGTGCCCAATGACATATCTGGCAATACTCAGGTAAAGAATTCGAACGCCAGCTCTACTGATATCGTCAACAAAAGATATGAAGAGTTTCTTCTTGCATCAACGACACAACCTGTTGCATATATTGCTTCCGTGGTTCGAAATATCGACACTTTCAACTATTTTCTTAAGGTAGCACTAGAAGCAAACCTTAGAGTAGTGGATATCACTCAAAATGTCAAGATTTTTGATTTCCTTCCTTACATGAGATCATACCAAAGATCCTCAGTAAGGCTACTTGGGATCTATCACTCATTTCATTAGACCATGTAGATTGTAGTGGACTAAACCACCCACTGGTTCAACCCGTGGTGTGTGAATGTGGGTCAACGTGGTTCGGTGTACTCCCCATGGAACGAGTTAAGACCAGGATTGGTCCAGATACTACATCTGTTTGGGATATACTGAGTTCGTTTAAACAAACTCAATCTTGTATTTTTATGTTCTAAATCCGAATCTTTGGACCTTATAGAATGTTAATGTAATTACGTTCAGTTTTTTTTTTAATCTTTTGTAACAAATCCCAGTGCATTTGGCCTAGTTTGTTACGCGGTGTGCATTTTTGTAGAAATTTTCCGAACACTTTTTTTTACGGTGAGAATTTTAAAAAAATCTGAACGTTTATGTTGTTCAATATTAATTCTCGTTGTTTAATGTGACCACACCTATCTATTTCACACGGGAAAGCCGATCCTCACATTATGGGTTTACTACCATTGGGGCTTTTCCGTCCCTTGCAAACACCGCCAAGGCACCGATGGATGACGTGGTTCTTGCGCTCATCGTCATACATATTGGACATTATCATGTTCAATAACTTGCATAACATGCAATACCTCATGACATTACACTATCTGCACATTTCATCCGTCCCAGTAAAAGTACATGAAACTCACCTGATACAGTAGCTTGACTTCGCTCACTTGAAATAACACCTATATAGGTGGAATATGTTCACTCGATGAGTCGATGTATGGTGAAGACACCTACAACGAAACTCGCACAAAGGTTGCTGTCAAACTTGCACACTTGGTCGGAATGTTGGTTGCATGGTACAATCATATAATGCATATATACAACCATTGGTACGACTATATATTTCATATAAGTTGAAATGGGTGCGATTATGTTGGTTGGTTTGTAACCTGACGGCTTTAGACCGTTTAGTTGTCGTCGTATAACTTGAACAAAACTTAAAGAAATCAAGAACCAACTACGATTGTGTATGATTTGGATGCAAATCGTAAAATGTTGAATCGCTTTAATCCTAAAATGTTTCCGTCATGTTTGTATGTAAAGTTTTGGATATTTTGCCTAACGAGTTGAAGGATATGGGTCTTAATAATATGCAAATCGTATGTGTTAACATGTATTTTGGAAATAACCCGACTTGATTACGAATCTGGAAAGGCTGGGATGGATCTTTCAAACCAGAATTTGTGAAGGTGATATTACAAGAAGACAAGTGAAGCTTTTGTATGTGATCATTCTTGAAATAATTTGCATGCTAGGGGCGGTTTATCAAGCACTTACTCGGTAAGCGGTTACCAGTAAAATTTAACACTATTATTACTTACCGGGTAAGATTTTAGTCCACCAAAACGTTATTGTATGCAACAATTTACCTGGTAAGCGCTTACCGTGGTAAGAGTCGCCCTCACTTATCGGGTAAGACTCCTTGTCTTTGTCTTGCTCTTACCAAGTAAGATTATTGGTTTTTACCATATTCATCCGGTAAGGTAATGTGATTTGGTGTTCACTTACCCAAGTAAGTGTTTGGTAAACGGCCCCTTAGTTATTTTGTTTGTGAATGCATTGTTGGTATTCGTACATTTTTAAACAACTTGTTTGGTTGTAATTTTGGTTTAGGACATTGATGTTGGAATGTAGATATCTAAACATATTTTGTTTATAATAATTTGGTAAATAATATTGAATGAGATTGGTATGAATTATATATACACACACATAAAAGATTATGTATAAATATTCATAATAAAATTATTTAATTATTTACTTGAAAAGTCTTGCTGTAAATTTTATGTATTAAAACAATATTAAACAAAATATGTCAGCGACAATCTTATCATTTAATATTTTTGTTTTGTTTTTTTGTCTTATCAAACATTATTTTAGACAACTTGTTCAATTTTCTCTTGTCAGAGACAATCCGGTCGTTTTGACAGTTTTGTCATGTCATGTTCAGTGTTACCAAACACTGTACCATAGGAGTGCTAAAACCCCGATCAAATCAACCCAACGCGAAGTAACTCAACCCGAAGTAACCCAATGTCTAACCGAGTTATAAAATTTTCAAACCATAGGTATTGGGTTGATTTTGGGTTATTATTATTTGAACTCAATCCAACCCGATGAACCCGATATCCTTTTATTTCTTGGATTTAATATGATTGGTGAATTTCTATTAATATATACATTAGACAATTACATATCACGTATGCTCTTTATATACACATATTTTCAATCTATTAAAATCTCTATATAACTTATTCGTATATATATATATATATATATATATTTTCAATCTATTAAAATCTCTATATAACTTATTCGTATATATATATATATATATATATATATATATATATATATATATATATRCAGTAATTGTGAACATATATATGTAAATTGAGAAAATTACCTGAATGTAATATACGTAAGAAATATAAATAAGTTGTATCAAATGGTTGATGATGAAAAATAAATTATGAGTAAAAGAAATAATTCAAGATTATAAGAATATTTCAATGTATCAAAATATCAACCCGACCAACTCTATCAATCCATACGGTTTGGGTTGGGTTTCATTTTGGTTTGATTTGAGTTAGTTTCAAACTATAAGTATTGGGTTGAGTTGCACTTTATTTTGGGCTGGATTGGGTTAACATTGAGTTGGTTACACTTTGACTCGGTAACAATCCGTGTTTACCAAATAACGGATGTGACCGAGATGTTACCCACAAACATCAAATTCATGCTTACCCGAGTTTTGCTTTCCATATCCTTTTTCTCCATTTAGTCCTCCTCGCTCCTCCTCCTCCTCCCTCGTCGGTCCCGGCTCTCCCCGCTACCACTCGGTCAGTCCTGATCCATTGTCGCTCTCGGCCTCCTCCTTTCCCCTCGTCGCTCAAGTCCTTCCTCCTTCGGCTGCTCGAAAAGGTATATTTTGTAGGGTTTTTCATTACTTGATCGAAAAGGCATATCTCATCTCTAGATTTTAATTGGGTTTTTTTTGAAGTTGGATCTCTTGTGGGTTCTTGATTTATATTGTTTTTTTTTAAGTTGGATCTCTTCTGCTGCGACTTTCATATATCTGCTAGTGTTCCCCCTTCATCTGCATTTTCTCCTTTTTATATATATGTACTGTTCAGAATGGGCCAGAAATCTAGTTTTATATGGCTACACATGTAAAGGAATTATCTCCATGAACTCAGCATTTCTACATATTTGTGAGAGAATTGAAAGTAAGGCTAATGTTGGGCATTCCTAGTGTCCTGCCCCATGGCCGATCTTGAGGTTTCTGATGCTCATGGCGGAAAGCCAAAAAAATGCCCCCAATATATAAAAAACAAGCAAGCAAAACATTATTTATGGGGTTTGGAACCTAGTCAAGTTAGGCAGCTAATCGCTACACCGATTTGATCAAGATGCTTCCAAGGTGTATCTTCATGAAAATAATGAAGTCAAAGCACTCGGTCAATTGAGACCCTGAACACACACTTCTCTATCACCCAAAGTTTATGGCAACACTTCTCTACAAATATTATTGTAGTGCAAAATCCGGTTAGCCTTCTGTTCTTGACTGTGATGTTTTGCTTTTATCACTCTCTTATGTGATTTTGAAACTGTTAAATTCATCTTCTCTAATGTTGGTTTTATAGGCATCAACCAATATTATAATAGCAATATGTGCATCTCGAACAAACAACAATCAAGTGTTTAAATATTAAGCCAATGTTGCTTACAATCTTGAGTAGTCTGCTAAAAAATTGTCATCATCGCTTACATGAAGTAGAATATGGAGACAAGTACTTATGTGAGCCAATTCAAGGATCATAGCTTAAACAATACATATATTCCAACAATCCTTGAGAATAGTGGTAGTGAGTTTGCAGATCAAGGCAATTAGTACTTGCAAATGGAACTTAGAATTAGAACTCAGCACAAAAAAGAAGTACATGTACATTGTTTTTTTTTCTATTTGGGTCCTCACTCCTTAGAACTCGAAGCAGAGTCTATAAAACATGTTAACTTTCTCGTTGAGAGTTCTTTAAAAAAGTGTACACTGAATGGCTCCTTCAACTCCATGATGCGTTTATGGAATCATGTAATCACTGAATGGATTGATTTATGTTGTAGTTTCCACTTCAGTGAAGACTGCATTATTATTTCTTTCGGTTACTAAAACTTTGTATTGGTTTGTTACCAAACAGGCTCATAGAAGAAGTTCAAAATGCTACAGAATGTACCTCACCAGATTATACAGTCTCCAGCCCGTCTTGGCCTGCCAAACCCTAATTCACCGTCTCTACAAACTCCCGCTCCTCCGAAATTCTCATCGCAGATCCCACAATCGCATCCGCCTGTTTTGCATCCAAATTTGTTAACCACGCCCACCTCCCTAACCCTACTACCACTCCTTCCTCCTCTATCTAGAGCTCAGTCGATCCTTCTAAGGATGGCGTCCCTCACATCAAGACTTTTTGAAGTCTCTTCTAATCAAGCTCAGTGGCGTAGTACCTTCCGTGGTTCTTTTCCTACCTTTCTTTCTACCCAAACCGTATCTTCACCAGATTCATCTCCCGCCACGTCTAAAGAAATCATCGCCCTCTTCACAACTCTTCAGACTCAACTCTTTGAATCCGTCACTGAACTTCAAGAAATTCTTGACCTTCAAGATGCCAAGCAGAAAATTACTCGCGAAATCAGATCCAAAGATTCCGCAATTCTGGCGTTCGCTAACAAACTTAAAGAAGCTGAACGGGTCCTTGATATCCTAGTTGATGATTATTCAGATTACCGCCGCTTGAAAAGATCAAAAGTTGAAGAGAATGAAGAGAGCTCATCTACCACCACAGTTGCAACTCAGCTAAATTTATCCGATATTTTATCATATGCACACAGAATCAGCTACACGACCTTCGCCCCACCAGAATTTGGCGCCGGCACAGCTCCTCTCCGAGGTGCTCTCCCACCTGCCCCTCAGGAGGAGCAAATGCGCGCTTCTCAGTTATATAGTTTTGCTGACCTTGATGTTGGGTTACCGAAGTTGGCAGAGAACGAGAAATTCGCCGTCGAGCCCTTGGCTGAAAACCCATCAGACCCTAATTCACTTGCGAATATGGTAATCAAAGATATGCTTCCTCCAAATATTGTGGTGCCATCAGGATGGAAGCCTGGGATGCCTGTGCAGTTGCCTACAGATTTACCAATCCTTCCTCCAGCCGGATGGAAGCCTGGCGACCCAGTGGCTTTGCCACCATTGGACTCGCTTGGTGGACCTCCAAGGACCGAGGACCAACAGACTCAACCCATCCATGTTCCTGGATTTGCAAAGGGGCCGCAACCTATACAGGTTCGGCATGTCCAACTTGATATTGATGATGATAGTAGTAGTGAATACAGCAGTGAAGATGATAGTTCTGATGAAGATTGACAAAAAAAAGCTTCAAACAGTGTGATATTCATATTCACAAGAAAACTGTGTGTAATGGATCAAGGAACCTCTTAGTTTAGCTTATGACCTCTTGCTTTTAACTTTGATTGTCTTAAAAGTTACAGTTCATTGGCAGTTATGTTGTTGATGTACATAGTAGGAAATCATTTGATGCCAATATGCATGTCTAAGTGTTAACGGTCGAGTCGAATCGAATGAATAGCAGGTTGTTTGGGCTCGACTTTGAAAAAATAAGGTTAAAATAGTAACTTTTATTATTCAGACTATTTACAAAGGAGTTAGGACGGATTAATGCTTAGAGACAACTTAACAAATTCGGAACTTAATCGATAAAAAATCAAACAACCCTTATATTATCATGTTAAAATTTTGTAGATTTAATAATTACAAAGTGTAATAATTATATTTTTCTTATAACAATAGATTATCAAATATGTGTACTTATAATTTCCAGATACAACCAAAAAGGCTTTTGGCCTAGCGGTGTCGTAGTCTATAGCCTCCTAGGAGGTCAGGGGTTCAAACCTCACAAATGTGAGGAGTGTGTGTGAGTTTATTTGTTGCATTTGTTGTATATAAATATTATATACTTCAAAAAAAAATAGATATATAGGACTCGTTTGTCTGCTTGGAACTCCTTAATTCATTCTTTAGGGGCAACTTGACAAGTCAAAGAGAGAAAATTATCCTCGCATCCGTCAATACTTTTTTTTATATTTATTTCTAAATCATTAAATTATATCATATCCAGTTCTATTCGTAACAAACACTAGACATATAATTTGTCTTGTCTCCGTACCAAAACCTACCTTATGTTATTGTTGTATATCATAATAACAAAAAGAATCAAGGGCAATTTTATTTTTAAAAACTATATTTTGGAAAATGTATTGACTTTTTTTTTAATATAATTAATAAAACCTATTACAACTTTGTGAACATACAAAATTGGTAAAGTATTGTTTGAAGAAAAATTCTTTGAAATTATTCAAAGACAAGTCTTTAACAGATGGATCAGTCTCGATACAAGATTCCCCCCGTTAAGGACAACTTTTTCTAAAGGTAAAACAATATATGAAATAAAAGTAAAGAAACAAAAGAACAGTTGGTTACAGATTTTGTAAGATATAGAAAAAGAACCACAGTCTTCTAAAAAAGTGAAACATATAACAACAAAAAGAAAAAGAAACCTACAACGACAAGGAGCTAACCAACAAGACCATGCCACCACCCACATCAATCAGCCCACGAGATGTTAAAATTTTTGGCACATTTTGAGACCCAATGGAAAGAGAGAAACTGCTATCGCTACGTGGGCTTCTTCTTAGTCTGCTCAAAGGGAAGGTCTGTAAGAGTAGATAGGACATAACCAGAAAGTTTGTGGTACCATTAACCAATGTCTGTGATTCTAGAACAAAAGAATTCTACTAAAGTAGAGGATAGGATGCAGCAGAGGTTGTACTTTCTCTTCCCAGGTACGGGTGAGGGGAAAAGCTATTCTAGCATCAGCATGAGTATGCATTGACCAGAGACTGGGAGTAGTTGTCATCTTAGATTTATGAGTTAGAACAATGTTCACCAACTCTTCCATAGTACTCATCCAGCCAGCTTGGGAAAGCGGTTTTTCTACTACTCGGCGTTAAGAGAAGCTGGGTAGCTCCGTACTCTATTCAAGGAGGCGGCTTTCGCCTGTAAGGACAGTTGGAGTTGACGGTCCTAGTTTTGTTACAGTAAGAGTTGTTGCTGGAATAACTTGTGTTGATGGAATAGAAGCTCTTCCTGCTCTCGTATCCGAWAAAGAATAGGCCCAAGGGACATCCATGGACAACCGCCACCCACGTAGTTTACCTAACTCAATCAACTCTACAATCGATACTGGTGCCGAAAGATGCCACCCTCACCAATTAAAAATACCCTTCCACAATAAAAAAAACGTTGAAACGATGTATGAAGCAATGGTTAATAGTTTCAACATCGTATTTAAAGAATCTTTTTTTAAAAACAGGTCCTACTGATTGTGTTAAGAAGCCCTAAACACCACAAATGGATTTTAATAAATATCTGACTTTATAAATATCTCGATTGATTCTTTAATATAAAACGTTGATCATAATTAATAAACTCCAAGGTTCAAAAAGGCGTGAAGCGTGGCGTGGTGGTGAGGTCAAGCCTCAAGACTTACATGCGGCGTTTTTCAAGGCGTGATATAAGGCGACAAATTTGTATGCCATGTATAGAATTATATATGTAGATATATGTTTTCTATATATTATCTAATCAGATAATGATATTAAAAAATGTCATATTAGAAGAAGAAAAATCATATAGATTATTATTATAAAAATAGGTTTTTGATTAAATATTTAAAATAGTTATTAGAAAAGTAATTTTACAACTTCATTTTAACCGTAAGTCTGTAACGTTTATGAATTTGTGAAAACTGTGAGTGATATGATTAGTTAGATCTATAAAAATGTAAAAACACAAAAAATAAAAAATAAAAGAATTGGAAAAAAACCACGTATTACAAAAAACGCGTATTGTGGAGCGTCATGGCGCTTCTCAATATGCCATGGCATGAGTCACACCTTACAAAAACGCTATGTCATTTCGTAACGGCGAAGACACGTCTTGTGTCATATCGCGCCATGGCGCGCCCTTTTGAACATTGATAAACTCTTATCATATTCCGTAAATATTCAAATCATAAAATATGATTCATTTTCATAAATATCTCAGTTGATTAATTTGTACGAATGAGACGGTTTATATTTTAAACCTCCTTTATTTCAATAAATATAAAAAAAATGGTACGATGTCTTTTTCCGTTCACTTATGTTGCAATTTGATCATCGTTCATAAAAATTTCCCACATCGAAATCGTTATCCCACATTTAGTTATGTGTCTTCTATTTCAATCACCGTCATAAAAGTTTTCGAGATCCAATTTTTACCGTAAATTAGCATATCGTCACAAAATAGGATTTACGTGTTATATTTGTCAGCCTTACTTTTCAAAGTGTTTGTGATTTGTTTTGCAACGTATGTGGTCCTTTCGAAAATTATGGTACAAGTGGTTCTCCGAAGCATTTATGGTTTGTTTTCAAAGCATTGCGGAAATTCATATCAATCTTTGAGTTGTTCCATCACCTTTTATATACAAATAGCAACAGACGTATCGCATACAATCATATATGATATTGAAATTTACCATCTTCTCGTAAATTGATCAACTTTTTTCATAATCTACTAATTATTGTGAAAAGATATGTATATGTTATTATAGATTTGGGATCATATGAGACAAAACTGTTTTCATAAGATACGTGATACAATATTTTTACACTTAAAACTTTACAGCAAAACAATATAAAGATTAATGTTTTTGCTGGGAAGATTCAATTTTTTTTACTTTCAGCTTATAAATTTTGAAGTATTTAGAAAAAAATAAAATTCTGTAAGCAAATCAAAGGAGACACGCCATGCCCACGTTCCACGCTACTTTCCGTGGTCCTCCACTCAGTCTGGCCTAACCTGCTGCACCCAACCAAACCCTCCTCTATGTTTGGCACCGAACCCTAGATTAGATCATACCCAACCACCATTACCAACCAACTCAACCACAACGACGACCATCACCATGGCTTCTCAAGAAGACGACCACATCACCACCGTCTACGGCGAAGATCTAGACGAAGATGATGACACCGAAGACGAAGATCTAACCCTAAGGAATCAGAACGTCGAAGAAGATGATGTTGACTTGGTTGATGACGAGGAGGAGGATGATTCCATGTCCTCCGGCGTCGGTGAAGTCACCATAGCTGTACCTGGTGTTCCCACCGCCGCCGATACCGATACCGTAGCCGCTACACCAACGGCAGCGATAACTAGTACGGTTGACGTCACTCCCGTTCCCCGATCTGATGTTGTTTTGGAACAGAAGAAAATTATGCCTTTAGATGAGTCTCGGCGGTTGTTCCAGCGGTTGTGGACAGATGAGGATGAGATTGAGCTGTTACAGGGATTCTTTGATTACACCAACCAGCTTGTTGTCAACAATTCGTTCCACCACCATCACCACCATGATACGACTGCTTTTTATGACCAGATCAAGAATAAATTGCAGTTGGATTTCAACAAGAATCAGTTGGTTGAGAAGCTAAGGAGATTGAAAAAGAAGTATCGGAATGTTCTCAGTAAGATCAGTTCAGGCAAGGATTACGTCTTCAAAACCCCCCATGATCAGATCACTTTCGACATATCTTGTAAGATATGGAGCTCCGAAGCTGCTGTCCTCTCCACTCCTGCATCTGTTGCATCTGCAGATGTTGGCAGATTCGAAGACGAAGAACCGAGTAATCCTTACCCTAACCTGAACCTTACTTTCAATTTGAACGAGCAAAACGGTAATGGTAGTGCCTACCCCAACAGTTCAGAGAAGAAAATTCCCCGATCACGAAAGCGATCAAGGTCGAGTGGAGTCAAAATCGAAGAAAAAACCAGTCACCAACAGCCTGCCCCAGCTGTGGGTGTAGGGGCTTCAAATTCTTCGAACCCAACCCCTAATCTTGTTGAAGAAACTGTGAAGAGTTGTCTACTGCCATTGTTCAAGGAGTTGCTAGACAGTTCACAAAATGGGCTTCGTGGCAGTTCAAGGGGATTAATGAATTTGGATCCTTTTGGTGGATCTATGAATTTGCCATTTGGGGACATTACAGATGAGAAGTGGAGGAAGCAACACATATTAGAATTGGAGGTTTGTTCAAAGAGATTGGAATTGGTGCAGGACCAAATCAAGTCACAGTTGGAGGAGTTGAGATCAATGAGGAGGTAATAAGAACTCTAAAATCTTTGTATGTAATCAATGAGTAAATTCTTGAAGTTGAGCCACTTCTTATCTCTTGGTATTTAAGTTCATACTTAAGTTTTATGGTCCTTTGATCAATAGTGCATACTGTAGTAGTCAATTTAGTCTGTTTAGAGCTTATCTTCTTCCTTGAGGCTTGTTGTTGAATAATCTTTATCATGTGTTCAGCCTTTCATGGCTATCCGCCATGAACTTTGTGCACATGCTTGCTTCTACTTGTGGGAAAATTGCATGAACTTGGAGTAAATACTTTAGCTTTCACTTGTATCAATGAATCTCAATAAGATCATGAGTAAAATAGATTCACATCATCACTTTGCAGCCACTGTTCCAAATTCACAATACTTGAGAGTGCACATTAAGGGGGTAATGAGTGTTTGTTGTTGCACCATGTGGGTTCTTTAGTAAAGGTGTTACATTTGTGCTTGTATACAGCTTACAAGAACATAAAGGTTTTAGGGGCTGTTTGGTTGTTCCTGTATGGATAAATTGTTTGTGTGGATTAATCTGTCTATAAAGATTGGAAGGGTTTTCGTTTGAAAGGGATTTTTCAGTTGAAGTGGTCAACCCAGTGAGTAAATTCTTAAAGTACAGCCAGTTCTTATCTCTTGGTTTAAGTTCCATAAGTCGTTCAGTACTTCAGTAGGCAATTTAGGGGCTGTTTACTTTTATTCCCATTAAGCCTTGTATGGGTTAATTTGTTATCAGTGAATGGGAATATGATCAAGTGTAGAAAGATGCAAGTGTCGCACAGATTTAAACCTGTCTGGACACATCTTGAAGAACATAAACATGATTGACTGTTTAAGGGTGCGTTTAGTACATGGAACAAGACACTACAAAAATTGTTAGTCTCACGCACGGGAAGACATTAGGTTTTGACAGGACCTAACTATGACAAAAACGCATTTTTTTGTATATCACCAAAACAGGCAGAACAAAAATGAGGGAAACGGGACAAGATTGGTAAATTACCAAACCCAAATGACATGTTTATTCTTCTACAAGAGTTACACAATATGGATTCTCTTTATAAAATGGTCCGAACGGCATGGGCAATCCCCGAAGGTTTGTGAGGTCGATATGTTGAATGCTCATTATTGGTTGTTTTCGAAGTTTATTATGGGAAGATGATCTTACGGGTGGAAAGTAGTTGCATAGTTGTCTTGAATGAAGCTTGGATACATTTTATTTTTAAATGTCAAGACACGCACGCCTCTTGTTAGTTAACGAATCTTAAATCCACAACGATAGGTTCAAAAGGCTCGGTTAGCATTGGTTGAACCAAAGGTTGCCGAGTATTCCATGCATCTTTGCTTTCAAGTTCACATTTGTTGCACATATGAACATGTCAAGTACCAAGTGAAGATGGTCTATTGGTGATTTTATTGCACATTTTGCTTGTTAAGAATGTTCTTTTTGAGTAACCGTGGGTTTTCGGGCCGATTATCCTCAGGCGGCCATTAATGGCCTGGAGTCTGAACCTCCATGACCATAAGGGTTTTGGTAGCGCTCGAGTTTAAATCTAGATTAGATGAGATTTTTCACTACATCTCCAAAGGCTTAACCAATCCTCCACAAACCAACTTGTGTTGCTTTTTTTCATTCATCGTTTATCTACAATGGGTAGGGTCCCGTTAATGACCGAAATTTTGCTTTATTTCTTTAAAATAGATAATCAAAATTCATTATTTAAAAAAAAATTACATCCAACTTCAACATTTTTTTCACATTGAATGCTTATAATATTGATTATATTATTAATTTCTTTTATATTTAGTGAAACTTCATTTATTTTTTCTTATAAACGTTAAATTTTAAAATCTGTTACGGGTGTAAATATAATAAAAAATTTATTTCGTTTGATTCGTAACACATGTAATTTGTGAAAAAGGGTTCTTTAGCACTATATAATTCAAGGTCCATGAACTTGCTTGAAAAATAGAACCCTTATCCATTGACAACGGAAAGGTCCCTAAATACGGACAGTTTAGGGCCGTTTACTTGGTAAGTGTTTACCGGATAAATTTTCTTATCAGATGAATATGAGAAGGGCCAAGAATCTTACCGGGTAAGAGTGATGAGAATAATGGAGAATCTTACCCGGTAAGTGAAGATGACGACTCTTACTCAGGTAAGCGTTTACTCAGTAAATTGTTGCATTCGATATGTTTTGATGTACAAAAATCTTATTCATCAAAATAAATCATAATGTTGATTATTATTGGTAAGCGCTTACCAGACAAGCAATTAAGTAAGCGGCCCCTTATTTTCTATTTTTGTGGGACCCTCCTTATAGATTTCCTTCCGATATGGTTTTCTTGGTTTTAGTTGACCAAACTTGTTCAAACTCTAATTGATTAATGAACACCTTGGTACTTTATTCTTCATATTGCAATGAAAATCTTAGACCAGTAAATGTTGTCGGTCAATATCTATTATGATATAAATTATTAATCTTATTGATATAAATTTTTGTTATAGATAGATATTATTATAAATGATGAAAAATAAATTTTTATATGTTAAAAAATCAAATAAGTTAATAAGCAATCCCAAACACTCCTATAAGTCAATAATATAGAAGACCGTCTTTTTTGGTCATTTTACAGATATAAACAAAATTTGTCAAACACTAAAAAACAACTTATCATCTTATTGCAGTTTTGGTACCGCTATAAGTTAATCTAAACACTTTTTAGAAAACTCCGATTTAATACCACATAAGTTAATAAACACTTTTACAAAAAAAAACTTAAGTTGTTTTAAATAAGCAATCCCAAACATCCCTTAAATTTTATTTGTTATAGAAGAGATAATTTATGTTATTTGTATCAGCCATTTTTTATGTTATTTTATGATTTTAATTTTTTTTATTTCATAGGTGACTTTTATTATTATAATTTTTAATTATTTTTGTCTTTTTATTATAATAAATGATTTTTGACAATTATAATTTTTATTATTATAATTTTTTATTGTATAAATTATAGACTAATCTATAATTGAAAATTAAAGGTTTATAAAATATATAGAAAATTTAGGAGTGCTTGACATTATTTATTTAAAATAATTTATGTTATTTTTGTAAAAGTGATTATCAACTTATATGGTGATAAATTGGAGTTTTATGAAAAGTGTTTGGATTACTTTACGACGGTATTGAAATATAATAAGTTAATTTTAGTTTTTGACAAATTTTACTTATATATGTAAAATGACCATATGATTTCGATTTCTGTAAGTCGATTTCGATTTCTGTAGGTAAAGGTCGATTTTGATTTATGTAGATGAAGATCGCTTTCTGTGTTCGATTTCGATTTTTTGTACTTGAAGGTCGATTTTGATTTCTACATGTGAAGGTCGTAATCTGTGTGCGTGAGGAAGGTCGATTTTTACTTATCCGTTTCCAAGAAGTTTGTTGCGGTTTATTTATTCGTACTATATTACTGTAATTTCATTATTGATTTTCCTTGTTTACCATAAATTATAGGTTTTCTTGCAAGAACGAACTAACAGGGTCAGCTACCCAACCAATTTTCATAATTAAATAACGTTACTGTATAGGTAGAGCTCGTTGTGAAAGATTGCTCTGAATTGTTTTTATTTCATTATTTATTTGTTCTAAATTATATATTTGAATAGAATTTGATTTGCACTAAATTTGTTTAGTCATTTTTCGTTTGCTTAAACCCTAGTGTTGATTCTAATTTAGTTAGGGGTTGTGTTGGCAATTGCTGAATGATTCAATGTAGAATGATTAAGTGACCAAAATAGTTAAGAGACTTTCATGATATAGTGCAAAATAAAATATAATTGTTTGGTAATTTATTTACAATGAAATTAAGACGTTAAATGGTTAAGGGAGACAGATGATACAAAATGATGCAGAGAGTTTTAAAACCATTAAGAGTTTTTATTGTCAAATAAGATTCATCTCTTAATGATTCAGAATTTGTCTATTAATAAAAATATTAAGAGGTAAACAAACAACCCTTTATTTAAATTAAAATTAAAACATCGTACTTAATATTAGAATTCGGTTAAAAACATGGAAAATTTTAGGAAATCAACCAAAAAGTTATTTGTAATGATGGAATTCGGTTAAAAACATGTCGAAAAGAATATGTAGTCTTGCATCTTGCTCGAAAGGTTAAAGACGATTTCATTTGGAAAAAAATCTATTTTATTTCTCAAATTGATACAATTAACTTTTTATCGGGTCAAATTGCGTTGACTTTCTCTCGCATCAACCACGATTTTGCGACTTTAAATGTACACCTGCTCAAAATAACTTATGGGTCCGCCACTGTTCATTGTGATAATAAATGTCCATCTTGTTATGAAATTGATTTACACACCTTCAATTACGAATTTCATCATCAATTTTTCCCCTTTTATCTAATCGAAAAGTACATGGAACGAAATATAAAATCGGTTTTGATTGTGTAAAAGAAAAAAATCAGTAAAAATATGAAAATTGCCTCGCATTTGACAGATTTTTAATAGTTATCAGAGGAAGGACCAAATCTTGACGTGTTTGCAAACTATGATGGTATTTTTGCAATTCCAAAACTGTATGGGTAAAAAATGTTATTTTTGATAACCACAAGGACCAACATTATAGTTTACTATTTGTTTTATAAGTAGAAGAGGTGAAAAAGTGAAAAAAGTGAAAAAGATGAAAACGAAACGGGTAAAAATATGGGTCACTTCCGTCAATTACCCGTTTCTTGTAAAATGGTTAAAAAGGGAGGACCCTCTTACAAAGGTTTTACAAATTATTCGGTATTGAAACCATATGACAACACTCCAGATGATGACATTCATTGTTGGTAGGGGTGTTTAAAATAATCGTTTGCCTCTTAATTGCGACATTAAGAGAGAGCCTCTTAATCGGGTAAGAAGCTAGGGCTGTTTGGCAAAAAAAAAAACCTCTTAATGGTGACAATTATAGCTTAATGATTTTGCATCTAGGGTTTGTCTAATGGTTTAGAGCCCTATTTTTCCAGGACTACCCTCTCAAGCATTTCTCACGCTGCTCTCAATCGAATCAGCCACATTCTTCATGGTCGATCTGTTCAATCGAAAATCTTCCACATTCTTCACGATCGATCTGCTCAATCGAATATGCAACATTCTTCAAGTACATCTCTCACGAATTGAAACTGCTCATCTCTCACAATCTGCTTTGTGCCTACTTTATTTACAATAGAAGGGGGTTTGAAATGCTTTTATTGAAGTAAAATGAACTACTGACCTAAGACTTATCAAAAGAATATTCAATGAATCAAGACTTGTCATCATATCATCTGTTGCATATGGCCATCTGCTTGAGGTAAACAGTATTTTTGCTTTCTAGAACTCATACTTATAAAATGAACTGTCATACTGACAATTGATTTCTTAAAGAGGAAAAGAACGATGAATCTTGATGAGACATTAATTGATTGCGTTCGTCTTTGAACCCTAATGTTTTCGGTACATATTTTGATACCTGTCCGTGATTATAGGTTACGACTTGTAAATATTGAAGGACCGCTTTAGATCTGCTTCTTAGATGTTCGATGCGTTTTTTTAGTATCGTTTATTAATTGTTGTTGCTCAGATGAATGAATATAGCTCGCATGAACTAACAGACACATGTTCGTTTAGTTGTGTTATAGTGTTGGTTGGATTCCAGGCTCTTTTGAAGTGCAAGAAGTTTCTTCAAGATATTTGAATTTCAACACTAACGAAGGACTATTTACGAAGAGATTACGAATGGTCAATTAGTACATTGTTTTATTTGATAGATATAATGAAGATATTAATGTTATGTTTGTTTGAATAAATATGAGATATTGTTTTGAACTAATAATGTTATGCTTGTTTCGATTAATATGAAATATGTAATTATATTTGCAAAGCAATTGTTTTGTTCAGATATCTGTCAAATAGTTATATTTCATTTAGTACTAAATCATACAAAGGGTTAAAATGGTAATTTGTTGTCTTTCAGATAACAGTTACCAAACAACCATATTTCATTCAGTACTTAACCATTATATACTAAATCATTCAACAACTGCCAAACAACCCCTTAGTGATCACCGTTAAAAAATGATTGTTGCTAGGCCATCCATTATGGTAATTGTAAAACGAATTGCTAAAGTGACCTGTAAGCATAAACGAGTGATGTGATACAAATCTATATATCTATTAAAAGAAGAACCCTGAGTGTTTGAGGTGACATCATGAGAATTGAGTATTGAGGTGTTGGTGAATTGTGTTTGAGTTTGAGATATCTCACACTGGTGGGGAGTTGAAAGATTTGAACAAAATGAAGTATATAAGAAAGGTGGATTGGATGCCTTTGTGTCGTCTAATGGGGTTTGTCTAATAATGTTGTCTTTATTTGGATGACCCTATTTGAAATCTATAACCACGGTTGGAAACCAAATGGTATAAATTATAATGCAAAATTATATATATATATATATATATATATATATATATATAAGTAAAATATTGGGGTGATGAGGTGACACCATGACAATTACAAAAATAAAACCTTGTGTAATTAAAATAAATAACGGGTTTGCTAAATCAAAAGAAGTATGAGGTATAATTTGGTGATAGAAAATCGTTTTTGGTAACTTGTGATGTGGGATCACTTATTCTTTAACCGTCGTTAGGCCTAGTTACTAAATTTGAAAACAATAAGGGAATTATTGATAACTTCTAAAGTTGAGGGGAAAAAATGAAAAATCAGTGAATACCATATATGGGAATGGGACGAAATAATTTACTCTTAAAAAAATACTTAAAAAATATATAAGTTCAATTGAAATGCTTTCGGGTATTCTACTCCCAACAAAAGAAGCCCTAATTTTAGGTTTCGCACTCACCCTCCATCGTCTCTGACGAAGAATCCACGGGAACTTCGGCTATCAAATTCAATCCTTCAAACCCTAATTTGGACTTGGGGAAGTGATCTCATGGACTTCGATGAGTATGAGTACTTGGAGAAGACCGTCGATGAGCCTGGTAACCGGAATGGTTCTTCTTCCAAGACCAAAGACGGCGGTGCCGAGAAGAACGAGAAGGGTTACAGGCGGAGGGAGAGAGAGGAAGACGATGGGGAAGATGAAGGAATTGTGGAAGAAGAGCGGAAGAGTAAGAAAAGCAAAGGGGTGGAAGAGAACGGTGGGAGTAGGAGAGACAGAGAGCGTGACCGTGAAGAGAGGTCTTCCAGGTCGGAGCGTCACAGAAGTAGTGGTAGAGATGAGGTGGATAGAGAAAGAGAAAGGGATCGGCGGAGAAGCAGTAGAGATGGAGAGAGGGATCGAGACAGAGAGAGGAGTTCGAGGGACAGGGAGAAGGATAAAGATAGGGAAAGAGAGAGGAGGGACAAAAATAAGGATAGGGAGAAGGACAAGGATAGAGAAAGGGAGAAGAGGGAGAGGGAAAGGGAGAGAGAAAGGGAGAAGGAAAGAGAAAGGTCAAGGAGGAGCCGCAGTCACTCCAGGATTGAGCGTGAACGTGAACGTGAGAAGGAATTGCTGAGAGAAAAAGAAAGAGAACTCGAATCAAGGGAGAGCAGGTGAAGAAGTCGTTCCTTAAACTGATTTTGTTTCTTATAATGCAATTTTCTAGTATTGTTTTATGCAGATTGGCTTCCCAGTTGATGGTTGGGAGTCGGGACGATGGGTTTGATTTTCAATATACAATTGCATAAACTATCTCCCTGCATTTAGCTTAATCGAGTCCAACTCAATGAATTTGGTTGTTTTGAGACCTCAAGAGTAAGGCTTATTAATTGAACGGTGATGCATGAATGCCTGATCCCACCTGGTTCTAGATTGAGATTTAAAAACCTCAACCTGTTGAAACAAGTATTATTAATTAGTTGAATGGATCTTTTACTTTCTCAAGCCTAAATTGCTCTTGTTCTTCTTTCCTTGTGTTCCATTTATGATGGAGTGATGAGTGTCTGTTGTTCATGGGAGAAAGCTAAATGGAAAATTCCCCACTTTATAGAAAATAAGAGGCTGTGTAAAAACTATGTAGTTTAGCTACTTAACAAGCCAAGTATGTAGCTTCTAACTTGGGTTGAAATCGTAGATGGAGTATTTGCACATACTAATGAGCTAACAATGCGGAAACTTCTTCACGGCTTCACTGAAGAAAGTGCTTTCCCACAAATTGAGTTTCATAAGGTCTGTTTGGTTCTTTATTTTATATTTGACCTCTAAGATTTGGCTTGAGTTCAATCTTCAACTATTTTGTAGATAAATGGCATTAAGGTTACTTGTGGCCCGAGATGTTAACGAATGATGTATTGGATTTTTAGGTTGGCAACGCATATGGTGCTGTCTCAGTCTATGAAGTTTTTGTTCACTGCGAAGACGTTTTTACTTTAACTCCATATTTAAGTTCCTTGCAGTGAACCATGGAAAAAAATATGCAATATCAAGCTGTTGGAGTTGTCCAGTACCAGATTATACTGTTCTGCAAAGTGTTGAAGTACTATTTAATTGCCTCAAGAAATCAAAGCATTGTAGAAAACATGAGCTAAAGATTAGGTTAGCTTAACTAAGTACTATACATAAGAATGTGAAAGGCCATTTTACAAATCTAATCATGTGCTGCATCTTGCAGATATGTATTACTCTTCCGTCCACTCAGACCAAGACAAATATCTATACTGATATTGAAGTTGATGCAAGAGGATATTATTACTGAAATATTATGTCTACATGTTTTTACTGTTAAATCCATGATATATTGGATGTTTTTTCGGATTTAAAATTGACAGCTGGAAGAAATTTTAAAACCAATTTATAGGAGCCTTATGAATCTTTTCTTGAACAATTTGGTTTTGAGATGGAACACCATGATGCAATAGATTATAAACAACACACTTCTAATCTTCTTAGGTAGTTAGGTGTATATAAGTTGGAATGACAATGATAATGCTCATTGTTACAGAATGACACACAATAATCTGTTGTGATCTTATTCTCATGTGAATTAGTACTAGGTCTTTTGTTGATAATAGATTGATATGTTTTTTGGCCAATTTTCATTTTATATCTTGGAATATTGGATTTGGATCAAGTGATGTAACTAGTCACCTTACAGTCTTTGAGATGAATGATTCTGTCTTGTAGTTCCATACAGTCTTTGAGATGAATGATTCTGTCTTGTAGTTCCATATATGATGCATGCATCTGTATACATAATCATATTGAAAATGATATTAATGACTTTTCTCCTAGGTGAGATACTCTTGATGCTTTCTTGGTCTTGTTGCACCTTTATATATGTTAGTTACATTTAATACATTGCAAGAATACAAGGAGACTTACAGGGTTTTTGACACGATGAATCGAGCATTTCTCAAAACACTAATAAACATAATAGGTCATATGAGAGCTATGTTTTATGAACCATTATGGTGATGTTAAAAAAGCGTTGAAAGAAGAATAATTAGGTTTGGTTTGCATTCCCAGTTAAGGTATTCAAGTTCACATGCTGTTTTTTAATTGACTGGGAAAGTGCTATTCTCTTTACAAACATATTGTGCACTTTTAATATTTCCGAAAAAGGTAACCACACAGTATTGATCAGTGTATACCCTTGATATTCTACTTATTTTTCTGTAAGTTGTTCACTTGGCAGGAGATTGAAAGATAAAAAAGAAGTGGTTGAGCCTGAAGCTGATCCAGAAAGGGATCAAAGGACTGTTTTTGCTTACCAGGTATATGGATTATATCTAATGTTTATGCTATTGGAGGAATTTTATATTTTGCTCGTGTCTTCTCATTGTCTTTAGGCTCTTTTTGTTGCTATTTTGTTTCTTAAAAGTAATATTAACCACTTGATTTGGTGTGAATCTGTTGTTTGCAGATGCCGCTGAAGGCAACTGAATGGGATGTTTATGAGTTCTTCTCAAAAGCAGGAAAGGTAATTGGCAATGTCTTGGCTACTCTGTTGAGAATCAAACGCTTGTATATGTTTCCTGCTACACTGAGTATCATTATTTTAGTTTCCAAATGGGGTTCACATATAGAGCAAGGTCAACTTATATCCACCAGGTGGCATGTTGCTCTTAATTTATGATTGTAGGTTATGATTTTAGTTCTAATTTATGATTGTTATTTGCACACTGCTTTACACGCCATGATTACTTGTTATTAAGATACATCTCCTTCCTGTTGCAGTAAATGCTCCTCTGCCTTCAGTTCAACTAGTATATTGACTTTCTTTCCCAACCTTCTATTATAGTGGGGTGAGTGAATTTTTGTGGACATGTTAGTTGATGATCTTGTGAGCACCTCCAGTGTGGTAAATATATATCATGGCGTCCATGATGGTATAGCATGATTAATATGTCCTGGAACTATGTTATGTTCTAAATGTAGTTCTTTTATCACTTCATCTGCAGGTGAGAGATGTGCGACTGATCATGGATCGGAATTCACGAAGGTCAAAAGGAGTTGGGTGGGTGCCTCTGTTATATTCTGTCTTTATTCCTGATGATAAGTTGTATTTTGTTTCTAGAATAGGTTGAGCTCGTGATATTTAAATCTCAATGTGCATCACAATTAAGGGTTCTTGACAGTCTGTGATGGATGAAAGATTTGTTATATTTTGCACTTCTTTTCTCATTTTCATGGTAGATAAGATGCTCTAGAGTTTCGGCCATTTATTTTTGTTCTTCCATGTTTTGGTGGGCTGAATATGCAAAGTTTTTTGGCGCATTTGGTGACTCAATTGTTAGTCTTTGGTTATACTTCTACAAGTACTTTTTACGTGTTTGAAATTAGTCTTTTTTGAGAAGCATTTGGCTTGTTTCTTTTCAGTACCGCAAGTGGCTGTAGGAGCTAGGCATTTGAACTTCTGTGGGCAGGTTGTTTCTTTGTTTTTGGTCATAACTCATAACTATCCTATGGGGTGGTTGTGAATGATGGACGCTCCCTGCTGACACAATGGTTCATGTAACTAAATTTATGCTTATACGTAGGTAACCTGGTAGGGTTTATGCAGTTGCTTAACTTTATAATGTGTTAAATTGTGGTTGTACTAGCAAATGTTCATCTTGCGAACTCATTATATGGTCATTCTGCGTCCACTTCTTGTTGTAGAACTTGGAAAGGTTTACAAGCTTAAAACTACTCAAAAAGGGACATACCTCTATGGATTTTCTTAATAAGTTCATAAATTGACACCGTTTAAACCCATTGCACCAGACCTAGTAGGTAGTTTAAGTGCTTTACTTGTATATGCATTTTCCGAAAAGTATTGGTTTCTACAAAAAGCAATGGAAGGCCAAAATATAAAAGACAATGTAGTGTTGCATACCTTAATAGAGGTGAAAGAACACCCGACTTACCAGGCATAGAAATTTAATGGAACGTAAAGGGAAAGGGAAGATGCTGGAGATGGTGATGAAATTACATGAAAGGCCGCAGAAGGTAGCAGTAAATTATTGCTATCGTCATGTAGAGCTGTCGCTTCATGAATCTCAGTTGGCCATGCAATGAGATGACTTAGAGAACTGATATATCTACTGTATTTTGTTGGTTAAGCCACACCTAAATGCCCCTAACCAAGAATATTCACATGGCAGAGTTGAACCATGCCTGCTTCTATTATGCACTGTGCATGTTGTCTCGTGAAAAAGGCAGGAGCCTTATTCTTGAGGTTCACACATTGATAGGAAAGTTTTGTCGTAACCCTTGGTTCCATCTTTTCCCCCTCAACTTTTATGCCTTAGTTTTTCTGCATCGCACATTGCTTCTCATGGTATTGTTTTTAACTCTTTCCAGTTCATGGAGTCATGGTGCCTTGCGCATGTCTAGACAGCTAGGTCTATGTGGAACATAATACTCAGAAATGACATTTTAACTTGGGCCTTATTTACTTTGACTGAATAACTCTGTCTATCTATTAATGTCATTAGTCATTGTTCAATATTTCCTTTTAACTAATGAATGTTATCAATGTAATCTGTTTTGAGAGAATACATAATATGGAATGGTATTATTTAGTTATTCATGTTTGTGTGTGAAAAGACTCTTCCGCTAAGTTTCTCCCACATAAAGTTGGTTATGGTTGAGTCTTTAGCACTCTGTAATTTAGTTTCTGTTCTGAACCAATAACTGCAGGTATATCGAATTTTATGATGCAATGTCTGTTCCAATGGCAATTGCCCTCTCTGGTCATCTACTTCTTGGACAACCTGTAATGGTCAAACCTTCGGAGGCTGAAAAGAACCTTGTGCARTCTAATGCTTCAACTGGTGGAGCAGGTGGTATTGCAGGACCCTATGGTGCAGTTGATCGGAAGCTTTATGTGGGAAATTTGCACTTCAACATGACTGAATTGCAACTCAAGCAGGTGAGGTTTCTAGGCAATTTATATGGTTAATGCTTGCTGATAAAATTCATAAGCTTCAGCTATTGACCTATGGTTTATTGTTTAAGTTGATGTACTAGTTTTATTGGAAAACAAGTTCTTACATTTGGTGTATGTGCCTTGTTCCATGGCGAATGGAATAGTTTTGTGAAAATAGATTTCAATCATTTTGATGATGTGTTTTTTTTTCTCCTTCTGTTGAAGTTCATGCTATCTTTTTCCTTAGATTTTTGAGAGATTTTAATTTTTCTGTTTTAGATGTGATTCAATTRATATGATGGAAACCATTGGTTTAATAGTGGCTTTGTTATTCTTGAATGAAGATGTGKAAATTCTACCTCAAGGGAACCAACTTGGCTATTTTAAACTTAACAAATCTACTAATCCAGATTCCAGACCAACATGACAGATATGTTCAAGTACATCTTGGGGTAGTTTTTACTTGATAGGAGATGCAAGCCCACTAAGTTATATGAAACTGTACAAGCCTTTCATATACCTAGTATAATGCCTCTAACCTTCTGCATATCTCACGGAGTCATGCAGAATATGCATTTTGAATCTGGGAAGGTGTAAAACATGCTTTAATATTCTATTCTTTGATTGCTTATGCACTCTTGTCATCTTCTTTATGCTTTTGATGATTTACAGATATTTGAAGCCTTTGGTCCCGTGGAGCTAGTGCAACTGCCAACAGATCCTGAAACAGGACACTGTAAAGGTTTTGGGTTTGTTCAAGTCAGTGCTTCAATTTCAACTATTTTTTACTGGTTGTCTTATACGTCAAGATGAATAAATAACCCATTTCCCATTTATAATAGTTTTCTCAACTTGAGCATGCAAAGGCAGCACAAAGCTTAAATGGGAAGCTTGAGATAGCTGGGCGGACAATTAAGGTGAATTTTTGTGCTTGTGGTGTTGGTGTGTTCTTATGTGACTGCTTTTTATTAAAGTTTGACCTGATGACATATCTTCAAGCCATGCATTTTATTTCTGAGGGCCCATGCTTCAAATTTTTGTTTGTTGTGTAGGTATCTTCAGTTACGGATCATGTTGGCGCACAAGACTCAGGAGCTAAAGCAGCAGACTTTGATGATGACGATGGGGGAGGTTTGGTAAGTCCATCTGCTTGATATATATTTGTGTGTGTGTTTGATATTTTTCATCGTTACATTATGGAACTAATGCCATACGTTGCATTAACTGCTTTCCAAATTTTGAATCTATTTCCATAACCAATTGGTCAGCACTTATTGTTACATCAGATGGAATTGGCTACATTGATAATTTTGGGGTCAACATAACGAAACCTGCAACTCTGAGGTCACTGTACTGTTTTATGAGAGGAATTTTTGTCAAAGTTCTTCTGTATTGAGCATAAAGCTGCTCCAAACTACCATCTTTAAAGGTTGGTTGATCCAAGAACCATTTCATTATGATCTGGTTGTATCTAGAATAAGATGCGGATTGACCAATGGGAGACCAATGGTTTGATCAATAGAGCGTCTTGCTATAAAGAAGTAGGTTCAGTTGAAGTTAAGTCTTAAGAGGACGCAAATCCACCATGATTAATTGGATGCTGAATTGAGGAATTTGGCAGTTCATGTGAGATGTACAAGTGGAAAACTCATCTAGGCTCTCTCTCTCTCTCTTGATATGAGATGGTTGCCAGTCAAGGTGTAGGGGAACTTAGGTCTGGCCGTCTGGCGCCTCACCATAAGTAGTGGCATAGATGACAAGAATGGCAAATGCCATATGCACCATTATGAGATATGACACATGATGGCTCACACAACTGTTTGTGGCCTCATGTTTCATCAGTGAACAGGCCTGGATTCAAGAAATAGGAGAGATGAGGAAGAGGAAGGTGAAGCAAAAGCAAGAGAGCCAGGTACCTGGTCATTTTTTAGGGTTGACTTTGTTAAGATATTGCTCATCCCCTCAATCTGTTTGGTGGATGTGGTCTATGGTTTAGTGGAGATCTTTCCGATACTAAGAATTTTGGGTTGCTTGTTTTTTTAAAAGAAAATTTTGAATATATGTAATCCTTGTACTTGGTATCTTATTTTCAGTTTTTACTTCTTAAGTGCTAAAATATACTTCTGGTATAAAGCGAACTAATGATGCATATTTCATTTGAGATTGTTACTAATGAAATCTAATGTTATTTTTGTATTCTGAACTGTGAGAATACCATGATTCTCCCATATTTGTTTATATTTACTACCATGGTCTCAAACTCAGATTTGTCAGTTTAGATGTCTTATTTTCCGTTTCTTCTAACTTGTGTTCTGAAGTTCTTCTATTGGCTTTATCACCTAATTCTTAAATTCTTGTGTGTTTGCGTTTATATAGCACATGCTCAAAGCTAACATACAAAACAATCTGACGGTTGAACGAATGGTCAAACTTCTCTTGTTTGAATTCATATCTCTGATTAAGTGGGTCTGTGAGTTACCATGAACAATTGTCAAGTTTGCTGAACAGTCTTATGGTTTGAGGGAGTTTACGTGATCTTTCCAATTTTTGGTTATTCTTGTTTTGTCAACTCTGTCTCACTCCTTGTGGCCATGTTATCGATGAAGTGAACATGCCGATCCTTTGATAACAGATGATAATTGTATGTTTTTTCTCTACAGGCTTTAAATGCTCAATCAAGAGCAATGCTTATGGCAAAACTTGATCGCAGTGGTATTGCATCTAGGTATGTTCATGGGATGCTCATTTCATTACATTGCAACATTACTTTTACACAATCTTTGATGATAATATTATGCTTGCAGCGTTCCTGGAGCGCTTGGAGTTGCAGCACCTCTAGTTAATGGATCTGCTCCAATTCAAGCCAGTGCTTTACCGATTAATGGCCCATCCACAGTTCCGGTTCCAGGTTTGGCCCAAATGGTTTCATCCATTGCTTCAGAGCCTGTTGGGAACCCCAGCGAGTGTCTACTACTGAAGAATATGTTTGATCCCTCTAGCGAGGTTTGCATTTTCCTTGGTTGTTAAATTCAGCATCTTCTACTGTTGAAGCAGTTTAACTTCAGGTATATTTTGCAGGTTGACCCAGAATTTGATTTGGATATAAAAGATGATGTGCAAGAAGAGTGTTCCAACTATGGTAGAGTGAAGCATATCCATGTTGACAAGTATGTGTTTTCATGATGCTTTTTAAGATACCGTTGTTATCTTGGTTTTGATTTTGCATGAGGAAGTCTTGTTAGTCACCGAACTACACATGTGCTCAATCCAATGGTTATATGATGCTTTTTTTTGTTTGTTGATGATAGAGATGAATTACATCACAGTAGAGTGTTCCATGAAGTTCTTTCACATGATAGTGGAAATAGTCAGCAAAAAACTAAATAGATATTTGGGGAGAACGTGAGGCCAACAACAAAAATATTCGTTCAAATGATCATTGTTAAACAAGTATAGTTATGGATGGAAGTGCCATCTGATACAACGAGTGGTTCAACTCTGAGTTTCAACTTATTTTTGTTTTTAGTAAAAGAAATCCTATTATATGTTGTGCATCCCTTGGCTCTTTCTTTTTTGGGTAGGGGTGATGAGTGATGATCAGAAAACAACTTGATAATGCTGAGTTTGTGAATGTGTATGGTATATACAAGCAGTGTTAAAAAAACACTAGGTGTTCTACCAAACTGGGTGGCGCTTAATTCATTAAGGCGGGATTAAGTGGCCATTAAAAGGTTCAGTTTTAATGTGTAAAATCCAATCTATATAAAATAGCCTTTTAGCTATTTGTCAATTGCCAGCGTCCTAGAAAGAGGTAATTGGAGTTGGTCTGTGTCTGTCAAATAACCTTCCGGCACCTAACAGGGATCATGGGACATTTAAAATAAAGCATAAATTCATTTAAATATATAAAACATAATTTTGTGTAGTTTATGTGAACATGAAAATTTGAGTTTTGGTGCTATTTTGTATTGATGTAATTACCTATTTGAATTAGTAGTTTCATTGATAGGGTTGCTCGGTAAGATTTGTAACATTCTAAGTCGAGCAAAGTTGATTGATGAATGCAAGTTTAGAGAAGTCGGTTGATCTCAGCTTGAACTATTGAGATACTTAATTCAATGATTTGTTGCTAACAGAGCAAGTGGAAACTCCTAGGCAGTCGATTAAGCGGCTGTAGGCGGGCTTTTATAGAACACTGTCTACATGGGTACATAGAAGTAACTTACCCTTCTGTAACATTTCTGTTCACAATGTTGAAATACCATTTTGACGACTATATTGTATCTCGCCATCTTTATCCATTGCAGCCCTTCAATTGTTTCGTTGTAGATGCCTAGTAGAACCCCTGGTCTAACCCACATATTTTGTACAGTCCTCGTTTTGTGCATTAATATTTTTTATTTTGTTTGGAGGCATTTATTAATTGTTATTATTGCTTTGTTGTGGAACCTGCCTTGTTTCATGCCTCTCTGTGCAACACTAATACACTGTACGATTAACCGTTTGGCGAACAGGCACAGTGCCGGTTATGTGTATCTGCGATTTGAAAGTGTGGAGGGAGCTGCAAGAGCTCAACAGGCAATGCATAAGAGATGGTTTGCCCGCAGATTAATATCAGCCATTTTCTTGGTAAGTCACTTTATATGTGCTCGAGGTACAGGTCTCTTTCACATCCCCTGTTTAAATACTCCAGTGGTTGCCATAATACTTGAAAAATATTGTTGGTCTAGATTTCAAAGCACGATATATCCTCAAAGATTGTTGATCAGAATGTATGGCACACACACACACACACACACACACATATATATATAGACTTGGGATCACGTGAGACCAGCCTGTTTTCATGAGACCCATGAGCACTTTTTTACACTTGAAACTTCACAGCAAAACGTTGTGAAGGTATTCACATTGTTTTTGCTGTGAAGGTTCGGCTTTTTTTACCTTTACAGCGTTTTGCTGTGAAGTTTCAAGTGTAAAAAAGTGGTCTGACGAAAACAGGCTGGTCTCACGTGAACCCAACCCTATATATATATATATTTTCTTCAAAGGACGATAAATCCTCGGAGATTGTTGATCAGAATGTATGTGTGTGTGCCTGCATATACATACACACACACACATCAGGGGTGCAAGGAACATTGTATTTGTATAATCTCTGATGTTGGATAGGTCTTTAAACGTCATATATATAGCTTTAGGAACACTTCATGGTATTTGATTGTGGAACACTTGATTCAAAGATTAGTTGCTAATGAGAGTGTTGGGAGGATGCTTACCACTTAAGCTGGCCTAAGCAGGGTTTTTTAGAACACCGCCAAAAACATATGTCGATAGGCGGTTTTTCTCGTCTCAATGAGACTGATGTTTTTTTGTTTGACTCCTGCAGCAACCATACGAGTATGATGCAAAGTTCAAAGGTGCGGCTTGATGACGTTGACAGACAATTTCGGTCTCAAATTCATTAGTTTTGGTTACTGGGTTGCAATCTACATTTCTACTTTGCATGCATGTATAATGATTCTGAAATTGGTTTTCCTTAGGATCATATATTATAAAATGTTTATGTGAAATATTGAATCAAGTGTTTGAATTATGACGACTTTATTTGATACTTGTGTGACATAAGTAATTGGATTACATAGCGAAAATATGGGGAAAGTTCTGGAAAATTCCAATAAACTTTTACATTTTGATTGATTAAATTTGTGAATAATTTTTTTTAATAAATAAACTATCAAACTTTCAGAATTGGTTACCTATATTCTTTTAATATTAAAAAATATTTATAATTAATAAAAAAATACTTGATAATAGTGAAAATTCCTAATATTTATAATTAATATAAAAAATACTTGATAATAGTGAAAATTCCGGGTAACTTGATTGCTCTGACTTAGACGGCCATGAAAAGCACTCTGATAACGAAACCTTTTGCAGTGAAGGGGCAGAGCGTTCCTTGGTCTCTCTTGACAATAGCTTACCTTTCTAATGTCCTGCCTTGACGAGTGAGAGAGGTAGCCGAATTAGGATATCACTACTGGCACGGACTGCGCAGGAAGTTGCGATCCTAAAATTAATTAGAAAAATGAACTGGCCATTACCAAATTAGACTCCTAGTGTGATTAACATCGGCTTATATGTCATCAGTCGTGTTGGGTCTGCCGCTCAGTTGAAAACGATGAAACAAATCTGCGGTAGTTCAAAACTGGAATCATTTCTATTATTTCCAAACCCTACGACAATTAAACCTTTGCACACAACGATATCGCTATCCCTTGTTACTCTTCGTCACTCTATCATTGTCAATTTCCATACCGTTTAATCGTTGTTGTGGTCTCTGTCATCAATCTCCCTCTTTTTTTATATGTTTTTATTTTTCCTCTTTTACATTAATTTAATGAAGTGTGTATATAAAAAAATGGAGAATCGGGAAAAAAAAAAACAATCAAGAAGATGGAGATTGAAACGGAGAACACTCGGAAAATAAATAATTTCTTGGATAATTTAGTAAACAAACTGATTTTTATAACTATAGTTAAAGATTTATTTGGCCATATCCGATTTTAAAAATCAACAATAATGTTGATATACATGAAGCTATTGTTCGAGTTTGAGCATAAATTACCATGGTGTCAAAATTGTCAAACTAGGTTCTTGGAGGCCTAAGCTCATTTTGAAAAATATGTTTCACGAATCGTAAGCTACGACACGCGAAGGAATGTTTCCATGGATTTCCAACGCCTCGGGAAATTGGTCGAGATAGATGACAGAGCAAGAACTAGCACGAATCAAATCTTTTAATAAAATCTATGAGGCTGTTTGGTTTATTGAATTCAAAGGATTTCAAGGGAATTGAAATATGACCAATTTCTTCGACCAAATTTCAATTTCTTTGTTTAGTTCACATATTGATGAAGTAGAATCCTTTGAATTCCATTGGATTCGTTGAATTAAAGATTTCACTGTTCCATTGGATATCCCAAAGATTCCAATTCCTTGACAATTTCATCCAACAAAACATGTGGTCAAATTCCATCAGATTTCATTCTAATTCCTTTAAAGTCAAATTCATTTGATGGATTTCAATTCCATCGAATTCCATTCTATGTAGTACGTACCAAACACACCCCACTTCTCCAATGTATCTCCTTTGCATTTTCTTCATGGGTTTTTGACTTTTGAGCCAACATACTCAAATACACATATTGAAAAAGAAGACATCTTTTGACTTAGAGTTATTAGACCTTGAAATGTGATTAGTGATCTATACATTCCTTTAGCAAAAGCAAGATAAAAATTGATATTTTGTATCAAGATTTGTGTTCTAGCAAAAAGCACATCATATACTAAATCGGTGTCTCGATAAAGGTCTAAAAAAAGTGGATTAGCCAAGTTGACGAACCACTCTAAACAACAGTGTCGTTATCTCCTTCTCTCTTTACATTTATGCATCGAATATCTTGTAATCGTTGTTTTGTAAGAAAGTATCTTGTTGGGACTTTGTCGAAAGAGTTTTCAGAAGTATCTTTTACATCCTTTACCTCCTCTAGGGTTGTCTACGGGTAGGGTTTGAAGTAAAACTGATTTATGGGCTGTTTGACAATTGCTGAATGGTTTGGTGTAGAATAATTAAGAAGCTCTCATGATATAATGCAAAATGAAATATAATTGTTTGCAAAATCATTCAGATGGTTTTAGAATCATTAAGAGATAGACTTTTTTTTTTTGCCAAACAAGATTCAGCTCTTAACGATTCAGAGGTTGTCTTTTAATGGAACTATTAAGAGGTAAACAAACAACCCCTTAGCTTTTTTTTTTACTTTATAACCTTTCTAGATTGTTTCAGATAAATTTTTTGGGTTAAAAGTATGTCTATAACCAATTTTTAAAAATTCGATAGTTTATTTATTCAAAAAAAAGGTTTAGGAACTTAATGATTCAAATTGAAAAAGTTCAATGATTTTTTCATTTAAAATAAAAGTTTAGAGACTTAATTTCTCTTCTAAAACATCAATTACGTCTCCCTTTTTACATCTTGTCCTTATAATGTTAATTTTATATGGTTTTTTTCATGACGGGTCCAATGGTTTTTAGATGGCTGGGCGAATTGTAAAAAATATGCCCCTGCCTTCAAAAAACAAAGAACACATTGGTTCCTTTAGATGCTATCATATATGCTCAAAACGTGCAAGCCAATTAGCAGTCGTCTCCTATATGATGTTTCTAATGAAATCTTATTTTGCGACGTCACTCATCCATGAATCCTTTGCGTTTTCTATATGTGGATCAACTTATTTGATGGAATAACCAACCGTACATTGGTTAACCTTAACGACAGTCAGAGTGGAAACATCATCATGTAAATTAGGAAAACTCTAATTCAGGGTCTGATCTTCATATCCGACATGTTTCCGTGCCCCAACAGAATCATTGATTGCCTACCAAAGTAAGAACAACAAAAGACTCGAAGATCTATTAACATTCCATTCAGTATGCAAGAAGGGCAGTTTCAGCGATGGTTGGATCATGAAGATATGCCAAATTCTAGTCTGTATATCTGAAGCTAAACGTTGTGAGATCTTCTTGTCTCGTTTAGATAGTGAGATATGCCAAATTCCACCTTGACCGTCGTTTTCTAATATCTACATACAAACAGAATGCATAGCTTCTCTATTAGAATCATCAAGAATGTAGATACGTAGGACATTTACACCACTCAATCATTGCGTCGGTTTACTGAACAACCAATCAATTTGTTTTCTTCTTTGTTTCACTTCCACTATCCACCATCCACTAAGAGAACGTACACAACTCCGTTTTGATCATTTCTTGTATTCTAAGATCATAGTCTCATGTCATTTCGTTATTATACAGTTTTATAACATAATTTACTACTGAACCATGGATTAAAAACTTACTTGACCGTTGATTTCTATTCTTGATTTCAGTGCACACCTCTAACTTCAAAATGCCCCTGACTTGCAACTTTTCGTACTTTATTTGCTTCTTCTACCTTTTTGCTTCTTTAGGGAAAGTACAAATGACCGAAAAAAGACCCTTTTCCACCTAGTTTGGAGGCTTAATAATAAGTAGTATCGTAAACATTTAAAACAACAAATTATCAGATAGCAACTAACCTGATATAGTTTTACATCGATTTTAATGCTAGAAGGATAATGGAAGTGATTTGGGCGTATGGAAACTACACAAGAAATGTCGTAGACCATGTCATTAGTCATTACTTCGCATAATAGTTCAACCAGAAATGGTAAGTTCTAGAGGTTAGCTTCGTCCTCCGGATCTTTTTCTCCAAATTCTCTATTCTCTAAAACCATGTTCTTCAACAACAGTGTAATGAGGTTTGTGCTATTGGCCTATTACTTTGCAAAAGACAACCACTCAACCAGAAACATTCGAAGTTCCAAGGAAGTTTTGAAGTACCTGACTACCTGAGAGGGAGCGCCGATTAGGGAAGGGGAAGACGGAGCGCCGGAACGGGAGCTGGGAGGGAAGAGGAAGACGAGGACGGACACCGGACTAGAGTCTGGAGTATTGGAGATAAGTTGCCGATTAGGGAAGACCGAAAGAGGAAGTCACGAGGATGGACTGGAGAGACGAGAGTTTGGACTCTGGATCTGGACCAAGGAGCCAAGGACTATAGTGCAGCGGGCTTGGGCTAGGATAATGCCCCTTGAGCTGATGATGCCATGGGCGATGACCCATGTCGGCCATGACCAGAGGCGACCTTGGTTTTTATATTTTGATTAACTTATTTTATTAAATATTATTAATAATAAAATAATATATAAAATAAAAATTGAAAATTAAATAAACCTTTTATTTTGGTGTCATTGATAAAAACTTCCTAATGATACATTTTGTTATAAAAATGTTATAATTTAATAAATTAATCAAAATATATAAAAGATATAAACAACTCATTAGGTGTAAATTGGTCATTTTATCGGTTTTTTCTTGTCCATTACTGTCTTATCAAACGTTGAACATTTGTATTATTCTATTCTATCTGTCTGGATGTCAAACACATCCTTAAATTCGATCATTTGGGTCGAGATGGATTTTATTATATCTTCAAGGACGTGTTTTATATGGATTACGCATCTATAAACGCACACAAATATAATCTTAAAAAAACAACTTTTTTAATTTATATAAAAAAACGATAAAATACTCATAAATTCATTTTACTTATCTGTATCGAAATTAATATATTACGATAAAAACAATTTAAACATTCACAAAAACGTCTAGAATTTTGAATTTAACTATTTTCAGTCATCACTGATCCTTTTTGGTATCCAAAATTGGGGATGATTTCCAATAACATGAAGTTTGAGCGAGAGTAAAAGATCCATCATGGTCGTTTCTTAACATGTTAAATGTGAGATTTTGAATAAGATCAACAATATTTTTGGACGTAATTTTACATGTGTTTAAGGTCTTTTTATCTGTTTGTGTAAATGCACACTTATACTCCTTCCATCCTGTTGTTTTAAACAAAATCGAAATTGTAACAAAACTGCATACTTGGAACTCGGTTCTCGATGACCAACAATTCCATAATTTCATTTAAATAGATCTTTTATCTCTTATTCTGTATTTTTGATCGTCATGTTCGAGCTCCACAAGTAGAACAGGTAAACTAGATTTATTTTATGTTACTCTCTTCAAACTAAAATAGTTAATTGTCATCGAATTATTTAAAATTTATTTATAAGCTGTTGCTTTCTGTTGTTGCTTTGTAATTAGGTTCAGATAATCAGGTTGTTAACTGTTTGGATTAAAATTATTAATTGTTCAGGTTTAGTTTTTTGTGCTGTAACACATGCATCTATGTTATCTTATTTTGTAGTGTAATCATAAGTTTTAAGGGCCTGTTTGACAGTTGTTGAATGGTTTGGTGCTGAATGATTAAGTGGTCAGAATGATAAATAGGGTCTCATTATATAGTGCAAAATGAAATATAATTGTTTGAGAATTATTTACATTGAAATTAGGGCACTGAATAGTTAAAGAAGACCCATTATATAAAATCGTCCAAAGGGTTTTAGAACCATCAAGAGGCAAAAAAAAAAATTTCTTACCAAACACGTTTCACCTCTTAACGATTCAGAGGTTGCCTCTTAACGGAACTATTAAGAAGTAAACCAACAACCCTAAGTGTAACAACTAGGTCTTTGAAAGAATTGAAATGTCTATCTAGACCTAACGTCATCAGTGATTGTGAAAAGGGGTCGATAAATATTTGACCTGACCAAATTGTTCCATATAACGACATATGCCATCAAAAACATACTTATATCGATTTCGATAAATGGTAGAGTAAATGCATACTTGTGCTCTTTTTGTTCCAAAATAAGTGTCCACAATTGAAATGACACACACTTTTAAACATACATAATTATTACATTTTTTGGTTAACCAAATAACACAATCAACATCAAGATCTATTTTTTATATTTTTAATGCATGATTTTTTTTTTGGTTAACCTGGATATTCAACTTGTGCGAGCTTACTAGTCTCAGGGTGACCACCCGCTTTGTGGGTGGCCCAAAGTCAGCGCATTTAACCTCAGTGACCATAAAGGGATTTTTTTATTTCTACTTGGATTCGAACATGAGACCTCCAGATACTTTTGATATTTGGAGTCCATCCTTGAACCAATCAAGGCACCATCTATGGTTGTAACATAAACAGTAAACTACAAATTTGGTCCCTATGCTTTGTCAAAAATAACACTTTTCGTCCTTGTATTCTCGAAAATACAAGATAAACCCCGTGATTTATAAAAACATCCGAATTTAGTTCCTCCCTCCAACGATCCTTACAAAATTCCTTCAGATAAAGAGCATTTTCGTCATTTTATCAATTTTTTTTGTATTTTAACAAATCAAAATCGATTTTACGATTTTGATCCCTATGGTTTTTGATTGGGTAAAAATAACAAAAACACCCCTCATTCAACCGGATTTCTTTAACGCCCGTTATAAGAAAAGATCAGATCCAAACGTTTTTGCAAACCACAATCGTCGTCTTATAATTTCAAAACCGGAAAAAAATATTATTTATAATTAATGTGACAAAAATAGAAGTAAATATAAAAGAAAATAGTAAAAGAAAAGGTAATTAATGATTAGGGATGTTATTATAGGATGCTTGGTATTCCATATTTACAGATAAACGTGGGCCCATCAAACTTCCAACACCCCGCAACCCCAACCCCCTCAAATTCAATCTTCTTCCTTTGCTCCCATGGAGACTTGTTCTTCCTCCGATGACTCGTTGGATCCTGCAGATTCACTCACTGATCACCATGGTTTCAACCCTTTATGCTTCAATCGTCTCACTTTCATATCCTCTGACCACTTCCATGTCCACTTCCACTCGCCTAAACCCTTACTCGCGCCTCTAGTGTTTTTTTATATCTAGGGTTCTTCTCACTGTTTTGTACATGTCTGTGGTTTGATCATAAATATACTAACGTTGCCTAGTTCGATTCATTTGATATCACCTTTTGTTTCAATTTTTGTTACTGTTCGTTTTATCTTGAATCTGTTTTATTGGATTTTTTTTAATCCGGTGGTCAACAGACAAGACTGATTTTGGGTATTTTTTAATTCCTGTTTTGGAGAAAACCAGTTTGATCATGGCAGTTAATCCACACTCGGAACCTGCAAAGATGGAACAGATAATCACTGAATTCTTTGCCAAGAGTTTGCATATAATACTTGAATCCAGGTGTCCCTACGTGTCTTCACGTAATTATAGTGGGGATCAAATAATGCATTCCCCTTCTTCCTCTGCCTCGTCTTCTTCCAGTATGAGACCCAGGGATAAGTGGTTTAATCTGACGCTTCGAGACTGCCCTGCAGCGCTTGAAAATATAGATTTCTGGCGTCAGAGTAACCTTGAGCCAATGGTGGTGGATGTGGTTTTGGTTCAGAGATCTCATAATTGGGACTATGGGAGTACTTCTCCAAGATTGGCACTCGAACGAAACTTGTCGTCAAAAGAGCGGTTTCCATTTGTATGGAAATCAGATTCTGATGAATTTGGGTGTGATGGTAACAGTGAAAAGATTATCGAAAGATGGGTTGTGCAGTATGAGAGCAAGAAGGGTTGTAAGGAAGTTTGTTCTGGGAGCAAGAGGTCTAGCTCCAACAGTTCACATGCATTATATAAGAAATCAATTTTGCTTTTAAGATCCTTATATGTAACTGTTAGACTTTTACCTGCTTATAAGATTTTCCGTGAGATAAACTCTTCTGGGCAGATTCGGACATTTAGTCTTATTCATAGGGTATCTTCTTCTGTTGAGCCACTCCTTCGTAGAGATGAGGCTGAAATGCAGCAGTTTATGTTTGCTCCTGTGGATACATCTTGTGGTAAACTTTGCATTTCATTATCATATCTTCCTTCAATTTCTGATGCCACTTCTGAGTCATCTACCCCAATGTCCCCACAATTTATACCAGATTATGTGGGTAGTCCATTGGCAGATCCATTAAAGAGGTTACCTTCAGTTCCAATGCCACAGTATTCTCCATCATCTTCTCCATTTGGAAGGCGCCATAGTTGGAGTTATGATACAAGTATAGCATCACCACCTTCAGCATTGCCATCTCCGTCACCCACTTACTCGGAGTCTCGTACTTCTTACTCTAAATTCGGTAGCCATCGTCCACCTACTAGTTCACGTTACCCTTTAGAAACAGCTCAAGTTCATACCAAGGATACGGGTTATGATGAGTACTTGCCTTCTCCTAATTTTTCACCATCTCCATCCCCATCGCCACCCATGTATCTTCCGGGAAGTAATATGTTGAAGGTTCTCTTACGGTCTGATAGTGCTCCGGTTTATATACCGACTTCTAGGCTTGGGGATGCACCTGTTTCGTCCAGCAAGACTGGTTTGCCGTTTTCTCCTCCTCTTAGAGCTACCAGACCAAGTCTTTCTTTAGTGGAGAGAAGCTCAAGTATACTCCAGAGTGCCACAACAGCTGGCAAGGTACTTCCATACTTCAATTCTTATGTACTTCTACTTGTCTGTTTGTCATGGGTTGTACTTTCTATTTTGGGATGTCCAGAACTCAAGTATTTCCCTTGTTTAAAAGTTGGGTAATTTTTCTTTCACTTCTATTTCAGAGTTGAAAAGAAAAGTTACCAGAAGGTAATATAAAGTGAACTATATGGGCCATATATATAGGAGCTTACACAGTGAGGGGAATTTGTTGCATAGTTCATTACTTTTCTTAATATGTTCATAGATAGAGTACGTTGTTATTAGAACATATATCAAAAGGGCTTGATAAGTTATTTCGTTTGCTATAGTTGTTATCCCTCCGGGAGGAAGATATTGCAAGGCCATCTGGTGTGAAGATTTCAGGCAACAGCTCCCCGCATAAATCTTCTTCTAGGCTATCGTTTGAAGATAGTTTTGATGACTCTGAGTTTTCAGGTCCCTTTGTGGTGGATGATGATGACATGATGGATCCTGGTAGCAGGTAATGTAGACATAACACTAGATCCTGTTTCTTGAACACCATATTATGTTGATTCGTGAACTTGTCTTGTTATCTGTTTTAGTCATTAATGTAGGTTACTTGAAAAATAAGCGGAAAATGGGATAGGTGGGTGATCACTGAATGGGATTATGTGGTCACATCCAGACATGAGTTTATGAGTAGTGGAGACTTGGGTGGTTTTTTTTAAATTCTAAGAGGAAAAAGGAATGAAGTCTTCACACATTAGAAGCAGCACTAATTCCTATTAGATGTACCCATGTTATGCTCATTTTTTGTTGGTAGTGGTATTTGATTTATTATTGCTTCCCTGCATTGCATGCATTTTGATTTGCTATTTTCTTCTTTTCTTATATTTGTCATTTGAATTTAGAGAGAAAATGAACAGAACATGATAGGTAACCTGATATATAGTCATATAGATATGGGTTGTCCACTAAGAACCAGGCTTCAAGAACATTTTTAAAACCTTTTGTTTTCTTGGTGAAAGGTTCTTTCTGTTAGCATTTGATTACTGAGTGTCGATCAGTAATGAATGGCATCAGGTTAGAAATGCTCCAGTTAGCTTAGTGTTCATGTGTTCAATTTGCATCTTTTTAGCTTTTCATTTTTGGCTTCTCCCTTCCTCCTTTGTTTAAAAAGCTGGTTATCTTCTTAGAGCCTTATGAATGGCTAACGACTTTATAAATCAGTGTTGATTGAGTCACGTTGGCATACATGCTTAGATTGTATTATAAATAAGGGAGTAAGGGACTAAGAGTCAATGGAAACTAATTGTAAGTTTTTCTAATAAGGTGCAAAAAATAAGGTTTTTAGGTGTGGGCTGAAGAAATTCTTGTTGGCTTGTTTCTGAATGATTTCCTTCCAACTTTTGGACATTGATGACTTGCCTTTTTTTTTTCCCTTCCTTTTATTCCTGGAGCTGTATTATTCATAGGCAGCGGAGGTTTTTTCAGAAATATCGGTTCATTAGATCGAGTTGCTTCTTGTTCATGGACGCTGGAGTTTCATTGGATAGGTGAATTCACAACGTGAAATTTGCTATTGTTGTGCTATTGGCAGGTAGACTAGATCGCCTCTGTTAGTTATAAATCATTAAGGGACCACCGATTGGTGTATTATATTTAAAAAGACACTTCCTTCCAATACATATGGCATGTTGATAATTATGTTGGAAACATATTGGTTGGTATGAATTTAAAGAGTCAGGAAGTTGATCAAATTTTGGCAATTTGAGAATCGGCGAGAATTAAAGATACTTCGTGGAGCTTATCGTATTTACTTTCTGTCTTTATCTTAAAATAAACCAAACCAAACCAAACCAAACCAAACCAGAAGAACCTAGTAAATCCCACACGAAGTGGCTCTGGGGAGGGTAAGATGTACACAACCTTTCCTCCAGCCCAAGGAGTAGAGAGGTTGTTTCTGTAATTCGTGAAGACCCTCAGCTTGCAAGAAGGTTATGCAAAGAGTAAGACTAACAAATGCAATAAAAGAAGTTTTTGATAGTTGATGAAAAGCTTGAGACAAACTTGGGAAAGCAAGTCTTGGAAAGTAGAGCAAGTACGCACCATAAACAACTTGAAATAAGATTAAAAGAAGTAGCGGCGTTAAAAGTGAAAGGGGAAGTGCAAAATGACTAAACAACCTAACCATTAAGTGAGCCAAAGGACCCCTTCCTGACAACTCAAACAAAAGCTACGCTTGACTACCCCACCTATCATCCTAGGACTTCGATACCTTGTTGTGGGTTCTCTAACCCTCCCTCAACCCACCTGCTACTACTTCCCACTTCCTTCCCAACCATAGTATCCACAAGTCCTTACGAAATTCTATGGCTCCACAAATTCCTGGAAATGCCTAAAGTCGCCATGTTCAATATCAGTTGTTCATCCGACATTCTATTCGGCCTTCCCCTCCTTTTCAACCCCCTCAGTTACGCTCTTGACCCTCTTCACCGGTGCCAAGACTTGTGTCTTACAAATGTGCCTTAACCACCCCGGTTAAATAGTGAACAAAAATACCTAACCCATCCATTTTTAAAGCCTGCCCTAGACAATTTTAACCATAGTACAGTCTGTATATCCTGAGACTGTTTGACATCTTCCATCTGGGAACTTGTAGCTCTGATTGCTCGACCTGAGAAAAGCAGATCAGGTCCCTATATGCACTGAAATTTACCCTAGTGAATTTGCAGGAACTTGGTATATATCTATATGCTAATTCTGATTACTTTGTTTCATGCTGGTGCTTAAGTCGTTAGAATAATTACTAAAAAAAACTGATAATTAGGCTTTATTCTTTATTAAGCCTTTTGTTTTCCTTGTTATACAAGGATCTACCAGGTGTATGGTTCTCTGTTACTGTGAGTTCTCTAAGCCAATACTTTTATAGTACAAATCGGTGTGTTCCTGGTCATGCTGAAGCAACCTTACAATTATATGAATTTTCTTCAGCAATCTAAATTTGTGTTCAGAAACGTGGCTGAAGCTTCTTATTTGATGCAGTGATATTGCAGCCGACTTATTTCTGCAATTTCTGATTATGATTTTGCATGTCTTTTCTACTCTTCTTTTTTCATATGGAAAAACTAGTGAAATGGCAGAATTAAGAATTAGCTGCTATTTGATATTTCAGAAAGCTATGCTGCATGTAGGTTTTTATGCATCTCATTTGATGTTTGATACTGCCTGAGTAAAAAAGAATAGCACTAACTTTGGTTGAACACGTTTTACATGGTTCTTTAGCTCATTGGCCTTTTATTTTGTCTAAGAGATGCCTATGCAGAAAAATATTGTGGAGATTAGTGCAAGTATCAATGTTATTAAAGTTGTGTTGCAGCTCTTCTCTTTAAAGCCACTAATTAAATCTGTGAAGACCGACTGGTTTTTGGTTGTCCAACATGGAAACCGACAACCATTTAATAACTTGCGTCTTGTTTCCATTTTTTTGGTGGATATGAAGCAGTATACTTGTCTACGCATTTATCTCATTGATTACATGTTCATTGGCACATAACTGGAGTGCCTATAGATATATTTTATCTATATGTATGTATATTTTTGGGAATCAAGGTCGAAAGAGGAGTGAGTGTTGAAAAATTTGTAGGAAAAGGGGAAGAAATAAGAAGATGCTCAACAGTTCACAGAAAAATCAATAGTAGTCAATGTCATCTACAACATGGCAGTATAACTGAAATATATTGAAGTTTAGTTATCGACTGGCAAAATGATTACTTATCTTACAAGTTACAAATTGTAAGATTAAATGATAGATAAATATTAATATTATCCTGATATAAATATAACAATGACAAAGGCAAATACTAGTAATTGTTCTAATAGAGTTGGAAGTTATCAGTAATATTATTAGGCTTTCATGACTTCCAGGATTAAGCCTTCTTCTGTGTCATATTCTCAATGAAAAGAACTCAGATCCGGGCGTCCGGCTAGTTAGGAGCACGGAACGGGATACTAATTGAAGGAGGAAGACATTGAATCTCCAAGTGCTTGCACGCCTGTCGTGTTGCACTTTGCAGGTTCAGTATCCGAGTCCATCCACAAAGGCTTCAGTGGTAACATTTCATGCATATTGTTACTTCTTGTCCTTAAGTTGAGAAGATAAACAAGCGCAGCTTGTCAACCTATAACTCTGAATTTGTCATGAGACATCCATGCCAAATCATATGGCATGAGATGTGGTTATAATTTCATTCACCATCTTTGTCTCGGAATTACCATTTATGCAGAGTGAACAAACCTCCTGCATCCTTGTCTTGTGCTTGATGTATTGATATTGCAACGAGTAGAAGGTGAAGGACCAGGACACGTTAGTCATCTTGTTGTTGTTGGGTTCTTCATGTGGATGAGTGACCATGGGTCACAACTTTAAATCTTTTGGCACACCCTTCATAACTCTGGCAACTGATTAAGGGTTTACAATCATATGGGGGATGAACAGTTGAACTAATGATGTCCTATCCATGGCAAATGGAACATCTTCTTGTTGGAATAGTACTTGAACTACTACAAGAGGTTTATAGAACAAGAAGGCTTAATAGGTTTCACAATTTTTTGCTGACATCAAGTGGCAAGTCTCGCAAAGTTGTTGATAGAACTGTCTTCTTCTGTTTCTTTTTAACCTGATAAGCTACTTAGGCAGCTCTTAAAGTCATGAAACTACTAGACACAAATCTTTTTGATTGAGCTCCTTCTGGTACATGGAGATCTCACACACTCGTCCAAAGAAACTTAGGGGACAGCCACCAAACGCTTATCCGGGTAAGTGCTTACCAAGTCACATTGCCTTACCGGATGAATATGGAAAGGACCAAGAATCTTACCCGATAAGAACGAAGACAAGGACCTAGAATTTACCCGGTAAGTGAAGGCGGTGACTCTTACCATGGGTAGCAATTACCGGGTAAATTGTTGCATAGGATGTCGTTTTGGTGGACTAAAAATCTTACCCGGTAAGTAAGTGATAGTGTTAAATTTATCGGTAAGCGCTCCCTGGGTAAATGTTTGGTAAATGGCCCCTTAGATTTTAGAGCCATGGAGTAGAAAAAACAAAGTGCATCCTTTAATTGATTTGCTTCTTTGCACTGATCAACTGCAGATGAGTCTGTTGTTGACTGCCATGTGCCAACAAGTGGCTGCATACTTCTAACTTGTTTTTCAAAATACAGCGTTTATCTTTTCAAGTGTTTCTTGTATATGTTCTTTTCCTGCAAATTTATATGCAACTCTATTTTCCACACTGGGTCTTCATGGAAACAACCTTTTTATTATTTGCGTGGAGGTCAAGTTTGCGTACGTCTCACCCTTCTCAGATCCCACCTCTGAGCGGGATATACGGGGTTTTGTTTGGTTACCAGTATTGGGTCATGAAAACTTGTTTTTGTCTGTGCATATTGTTTCGTTACTATATACAGTAATTTTGACTTGTGGTGTGGTCTCCCAGACCTGGTTCATCTGATCGATCAGGAAATCTTGGCACGCCACATGAACGCATAGGGCCATCTACGCCAAGGAAATCACAGGATGCTGCAGTTGGTGCTCTTGTTCAGATGCTGAAGAAAGCACCACCTCTTCGACAGGACTTGAGTCGATCACAGAACGTGTGTAAGCCCTCGAGGCCTGAAAGTTCGTGCAATCAGATTCAAGATCCTGCGGTTGTTGAAGTTGGTTCGTCCAGCATGGCCTCTTCTAGGGTGAAAACGACGTCTGATGCATTGGAGGAGCTGAAAGCGTACATGGACGTGAAACAACTTTTGTTAAGGCAATCCGGCAAGTCGTAGAACGATATGTTCGAAAAACGGTGTTTGGTTTTTTACGTCGTTGGTCATGATTATATTCGTTCTCTGTGGTCTTTGTGTACATATTTAAAATGTTGGTATATATGGTGGTTTAAATACAAGCAGTGAATTTGTTTTTTCTTTACAATCTGGTGCTCCTGCTAGTCAACAAAGAAGGGTTAAACAAGAACGTATTCATTTTACGAGAACGCAAGAATATTTTTTTATTATAGACAATCACATGTGATACTATTATTTCATAAGATATGATACACATGTGATGATAAATCAGAGACGCGGGAGATTTTAGATGCAATCTTGGTTGCGGGCCAAGTTGCTCTTACACCACTAAGTCCCCTCACATGTATAATGTATCATCACATATGATAAGGGTGTTGTTGATATGATACTATAATTCATCAAGACGTGATGCTAAATCATAGACGCAAACAACATTTGGTGCGGGCTAAGTCGTAGTATACGTCGTCTGCACATCACAGGGTCCCTCACGCATATTATCACATGTGATAAGGGTGTTCTCGTGTTCTTGTAAAATGGAGGTGTTCTTGTTTGAACCTCCATGCACACAGGTGGAGGTTCAAACGAGAACCTCTGTGATTTACAAGAACGCGAGAACAATTAATAACCTCAAACTTTTTTGATTAATAAATTAACTTATATTAAATATAAATAAATTAATAATGACAGTAATGTAATTAAGTAATTTTTATAATTTTTATTTTATTTTAATTAGTTATAATTATCCCTTTTTTTCCTGCACGTTCGTTTCCACCATCTACTCTTCCCGTGTGATAATTGTGTGATTGTGTAGCCATAACCTATCAAAACCATGATCAATCAAGTGTAACCATAACCTATCGAAACCATGAGTAATCGTTGTGATAAATGTGTGATTGTCTAACCYTAACCGATCGAAATCATGATCAAATTGAGTGCGCAAGTGATGTTATAATAGTGATATCACATGATTATCACACTCATATCACACCAAATCGTTTAGTAGATTTCGCCCGTAATCGTTGTGATAAATGTGTGATTGTCTAATCTTAACCTATCGAAACCATGAGTAATCGTTATGATAAATGTGTGATTGTCAAACCCTAACCGATCGAAACGATGATCAAATCGAGTGCTGTTATGATAATGATATCACATGATTATCACACCCATATCACACCAAATCGGTAGTCGATTTTCTAAGTTAACCCTAGCCGAGCGGAATCCTTGTGATAATTGTGTGATAATCACATGATTATCACATCCATATCACACTCAAATCACACCAAATCGTGTTGATATAAGCGATAATGTGATAATTGT